ATACATTTCACAATGTTCCTCAGTCAATAAATATATTATTTTCATCATGCTTCAGGAAGCCTTTCAATAGCTTATTTTTTGAAACATTAAAACATGTGCAAACATTTTATTACCCACAACCTTAACAGGGCCTCCTCTCATGAACTAGGCAGAGAAAGGCTCAATGCCAGTGACTCACTGAAGTGCAACATAAGTCACTAGACTGCCGGACGAGCTTGTCTGCAGCCAACTCAGACCACACTCTTGGTAAAGATGTCAGATCACTTTCTGCCAAAGTTTTAAGAATTAGACTTTTCTGCAGAGAGGCAATCAAATGAACAGGGATTAGCAACTTCTGCCAAGTAATAATAATAACAAATCATTTATATGTGCAATGAGAAAACATCATTAATTCTTTTCTCATGGGTTGTTCAATTACAGTATTGAAAAACCAGTACGACAATACACATTAATAGAGCCAAATGAAATCGTGTTTTTTTCTGACTGAACACACAACACCCTAGTGTTACAGCAAACAGCACCAAATGATTGCTGCAATATTTGGGAAGCTGCCACACCTTCCATTTCACCTTAACCTCGATATCTCATTCTTCAGTTCACTTTTTCTAATTTTTTTAAAAAAGAACAGTCCGTAGTTAACAATGCATTAAAAGATTGCAGGAAATGAAATGGGTCTGGTACACACAACCTTGCTGTATTCACAGGCTCACCATTTAGGTTGATAGTATTGACAGTAAGTCCAATTACTGGATCCATCAGATAGTCCCTTTTTTTTAAATGCTGTGCGCAATTGGCTTCCGCGTTATGCCCACAATATACGGTCAATTCACTTTACAGCATATTCTGTGAAGCACTTTGAGACGTCTAGAAGACGTAAAAAACACTATATCAAATGCAAGGATTATTATTATTCCCTTTTTTTTGGCGATGCTGATGTAAAATACAATGTCAGCAGTGTTAAGGGAGGAATATTGCAGCCAAGCTCTGACCAACACAGTGGATTTAAATAAAAACTCAAGATCACTCAGCTGATGTACAATATGGTAAAAATGACATCGAGTCCACACAAGTGACAGAATTTCCTTTCTCCTCATGTTGCTCCAGAAGGTCTCTTCCACTCTGTAGGTCACAAAGTTGTGGTGTATGTTAATTAACCTTCATACAAGGTATTTCTTTTAGGTGATGATCTTCTCCAACTTCCCAAACATCCTTTCTCCACTCCCCAAATCATAAAACACAAATCAGCCTCATTCATCCAGCTTAATCTGCTGCAGTCTATTTGAAGTATCACATTTTTGGTTCTTTTATCTGATGATTCGTTCATTTCATTGTGTGGAATGAAAACACGTTTCCACTAGATCCTAAAGTGCTGGTTTGCCTGCAAATAGTTAACTTGTATTTACAAAATGCCCTTCACAAAGAATAATGCCTCAAAGTGCTTTACAGAGATGGAGCCGGATACCAAAGCAAGTTGAGGTTCGTGTAGGACATCAGAGGATCTGCAATTAAGGGGAAAGATAGATTTGGGTGTTATCTGTGTATATTTATAAGGTGGAAAACCAATTTAACACAATGTTACCAGGAAAGCACTAAGAATTTTCCAAGGGGCTTTACCACATGGGGCATTAAAAGCAAAATCCCTTCAACAAACAACAAATTATATTTATATTGCACCTTTGATAGGGAGAGATGTCATGGGTTTGCTGCCTCACCTACTCCAATGCCCTTCTCGCCCATCTCCCCAGCTCCTCTATTTAAAAATCCAGTTAATCTAGAACTCAGCCACCCACATATTCACCTGCACAGAACTCCATATCCCTATTACACCAATCCTTTCCAGGCTCCACTGGCTCCCTATCACCAAATGTATTGATTTCAAGATACTCACACTCATCATCAAATCCCTTCAGGTCCTGGCACCTCCCTACCTCCCCGACCTGTTTACTTCCCAATCCACTGCCTGTCGCGTCCGCTCAACTAGCTCCAGCCTCCTGCATGTTACCTCGTGCCATCAGTACCACCATCGGCGGCCACACTATAAGCACTACGCCCCGAAACTTGAACACTCTCCCTTCCCCATCTTCAAGTCATGCTTTTCTCTTCAATCACGCTTATGGTTACTTCCCCACCCCGTAGCTCAGCATCAGGCTTCACTGGGTGACCTGAGACTCTACCCTGGGTAAGCGGTGCCAAGTTGTTTTTGTTGGGATAAGAGCCTGGTTACCAGATTTTGATGGTTGTCACACAACTTGTACATGCACAAACCAACTCTCCGCAATCTTCCAAATTGATAGAGTAGATACATATTCCACCAACCCCCCCACCATTATCCACTCTGCTGTGTGCAACATAATCGCTGTCTTGGTGAATGAGTGGGCATAAACTGGAGGAAAGTTCTTGGAACACTTTGCCCAGCCTGCCAAGTGTTTCAAAACTTCTTAAGAGATTGTGTGCATGTATATATATATATGGGAGGGGGGCAGTGTTTGTCAAAGATATACTAAACCCTGATGCATATGGAGCCATGTAAAGCGAGAGCTAATGTCCCAGTCACAAAATGCAGCAGATAGTGATGGGAGTGAGTAGATAGATGATGGTTCCTGCTGAACTATTGCAAGGCATCCGGTGGCAGACTGCATAAAATACATTTTAACACTCATGGTTGGCCTTTCTTTCTTGAAAGGAATCAGTCTTAAAACTTGAAAAAGAGGCAGACTTTTAACTAATCCAAGGTAGATTATCACCAATAAAGGTCATTACATAGAATATACAGCACAGAAACGGGCCATTCGGCCCCAAATGGTCTATGCCGGCGTTTATGCTCAACATGAGCCTCCTCGTCTTCCTCAACTAAGCCTATCAACATAAGCTTCTACACTTTCTCTCTAATGTGCTTATCTAGCTTTCCCTTAAATGCATCTATGCTATTCGCCTCAACTACTAAATGTGGCAGCAAATTCCATTCTGTATAAATCATTCCACAATAGTCATCAGTTAAATGGTACCTTAACGCAGAGAATTGACAAGCCAACATTCCAGATCATTTTAAGGCACTTAAAACTGTCAGAATAAATCTCATGAGACATGAGAAGACAGCTTATATTTACACAGGAAATTTATTCAAAAACAACTTGCATTTCTATAGCGCCCTTCACGTGAGGTAGTGTCCCGGAGCGAGAACTGCTGTGATGGGGGCATGGAGTTTCGTGTGGTGAGTGTCCAGGCGGTGGTGTTTTTAATTAATTGGATTTTATGGATGATGGAGCTGGGGAGACCAGGGATGAGGTCATTGGAATAGTCCAGCTGGGAAATGACGAAGACATGGATATGGTTTTCAGGTGCATCGGTTGTGAGGTACGAATGGAGGTGGACAATGTGACATAGGTGGGAAAAAGCGGTCGGTCAGGGAATGAAATGTGTGGTAGAAAGGAAAGCTGAGAATCAAACCTGATGTCTAAGTTTGCATGGGTTCGTTCGGAGAGTCTGAGGCACAGTCTGGGGAGGTTGGAGTTCAGAACTGCAGGAGAGAAGACATTGATGGGAGCCAGAGTATGGCTTCCGTCCTGCCAGCATTCAGCCACAGGAAATTTGCGCTTATCCAAGCCTTGATATCCATCAAACAAGCTGACAGGACATCAGCAGACTGGAAGTCGCAACTTGAGTAGATTTGGGTGTCATCTGCATACATGTAGAAGTTCACCCCATGTCTGCGGATGACATCGCCGAGGGAGTGTCAATGATGAAAAGGGGTCAAGGATGGATCCCTGGGATACCCCGCAGGTGACCGGGCGGGTGAGAGGAAAAACCATTCACCTAGATGAAGTGCTGGCGGTTGGTTAATTAGGATTCCAATGCGAGTGCGGTCCCACTAAGGTGGATGAGGTAGAAGAGGCGGTGGAGGAGGATGGCATGGTCGACTGTGTCAAACGCAGCGGAGAGGTCCAGGAGGCAGAAAATCAGTGGCAGTAATTTCAAGGGTATAGATTTAAAACATACTTAAAATGAAGTCTGGTCTTATTTTGCCTGAAATGAACGAAGTACTGGAATTCATTAGGCTCATGATAGGATTTTCATAAATAACTGATATTTTCCAGTAAGTTTATGCATAATTCACTTTTACAGGTAGATAGGTTGACACACGAGACTGAACATTTATAGTTTGCTTCATATAAGAAGCTTCTACTTTAGTTTCCAATTTTTGACTAAATTTCATCTTCCAGACAACAAAATGATTACTTTATGGTTTCAATACGTTGTCCATTCAAGTGTGAATTATTTTAAGTGTGAATCTATATCAAATGCAAATTTATTTAAACTTGGTGGTTATTATAACTAAAATAAGATCAATCTTGTTATGTCTTGGAGTCAGATGTAGATCCAGAATGGAAATGCCGGATGATTTAGTTTTATTTCCATCCCTAGCCCACAGGCACGAGGGTCAATTGTACCACCTAGTGTGTTCCCACAACTGATTTTCTGAGCAGTTTTTCCTAGCAGCACCTCAATATCCACTGAGGTTTTTCTTTTGCATCCTAGTCTATAAAGGATGTATCCTGGCCAGCACCTGACAAGTGATCCACATTCCTAACCAAGTTTCTAAAATTCCATTAGCGGAAAAATCTTGCAAAGTTCAAAAATGATTAACTCAAAGTAATCCAGGATAGCATGATTGCAAAGTGGATAGATACATAAAGTCGCTCAATGAATTCAACCAAAGTCTGCTGAGAGGCTATAAATATTTGGGCTCCTTTCCACTGAATTGAAGGGCCCAATGGGTTTCCTCAACGTCAGATTGAAACTTAGCCAACCTTGATGTGGCCATGTAGCACTTGTTAGAATTCAATTCATGGCACATAATATATATCAAATCAGCTAGACACATGGGTCCATTTTTCCATTTATAAATTAAACATCTTGAGCCAAGTGGTTCGGGGACTTTTTGGATTTGATACAGAATTTAAAAAAACAATTCAAAATATACACAAATTGTTTGTATTTATAACAATTTAATTGAATGCAAATATAGTTACAACTATTTAACAGTACAAAATAGAAAAAAAGCATGTTAATGCAATGTAGACACTTAATAGCTTCTACAAAAGGCTTTCTATGCAATACTCTTCAAAAAAAATGTAATTGGTAGCAGTTACTGGTCCCTACTCTGCATTTGATCAAGTGACTTGCACTGCCTCAACAGGATCATATTCAATTTGACAGGGAGGTTTTACGGAGCACTTTGTCCTGAAGAGATGCTTATAGTTCTAAATGGTTACTCTGATTCCAGAATGATACTTCAACCAATTAATTAGATTATGCTTCAATCAGGTTGGCATATTTATGGCGGTAAAACATTGATTGAAACAGCAACACATTTGTTTGAAATTGTAGTGTATTAATATTTGGGGGTACTTCTGTAGGTGGAATGTGAGTATCAGAGCCATATTCCAGCTTCAACTGACTACCCACATGCGATTCTTAAATGGCTATGAGAACAAACACAACTGAGTTCCAACTTGCAGCATTGGGGGGGAAGAGACAATAAGGAAGAGTAAACATGGATTCAGGCAGGCAAAAAACAAAACATAACTTGTTAGCTATAAGAGCAGCATTGCTATCTTTGGAGAAAGCTGAAACAGACAATTCCATCCTCTTGCCAACATCTTTTAGAGGAATGATAGGATGCTTTACATGCATCAAACACTGCAGTGTGCTTGCTATACTCAATACACCTGCAAAGGAGAACTTAAGTAACTTACTATGGTGCATTCTCTTTTTTTTTAAAAAATAATGCACTGGATATAATTCTTTCCCCAACAGTCTCCAATTTCTTCATGTTACAGAAAGGTTTGTTTTAAACCTTCCAAATAATTCTAAGAAACTATTTGGTTTCAGACTAGCTACAAGTCCTTGTTCACACATTCTGGAGATGGCAGACATTTACATATTGGATGCAACCTGTAGCAAAGAATCCTAACAGATTAATAGAAATACTTTGCATACAACCCCCCCACAAATGTGTGCTGGTAACAATGTACAAGTAACATAACTCAGCACACAAACTATTTTTTAAACAATTGCTGAGAACGTATTTATTCTTAGACAGCAGTGGAAATGATGCAGAATGCTGTAGTCCACAGTTAAATAATTACTTTTTTCCTGTCTTTTGATGGCAAAGCAAGTTTTAGTAGTATTCAATGTTTCATAATAAAACCAAGCCTTTATCAGACTTTAAGCAAACTTTAATTAAAAAGGTCTGCTGAATACTTTCAATAAGGTTCTTTACTTTTAACAAGTTATTTTGTCAAACATTTTTTTTTAAAAAAGCAGTTACAGACTTTGATCTGCCACAAAGTTATATGAAAAGGCTGGCGCAGTAACATGTTGGAAACTTACATTTGGATTGTAAAAATGTGTTTTAAGACAAAACCTTGTTAGGTGCGACCACTGACAGATAAATAACTTCAGTAGACAAAACCATTTGTTCAAATTTTGGCCACAAATTAAAGCCTCCCTGCACTTAACACCGGACAAATGTCTGATCAGGCAGGTATGCATTTACATTCATAAAGCAACAATAAAGAAAACTGCCAATCGACATGTCTCTTTCTTATATTAATTAAAGGAACTTTTATATCTATTACTTCAGAATGATGAGGATGTATGGTTTACCTCTAAAAACTTATTTTAATCTTTCTACAATTACAAAAATATTGCAGTTATCAAACTAACGTTACAAAAGTTTTCATCTTCTGTAATATTTACAATATTTGATCAAAAAATATTGGTATTGATCAACAAAAAATTCTGCAATACTGGACAAGCTAATTTTACATTTGTTTCAACAAGCAAACTTTAGAAACCCAAAACACTCCCAAACAAAGTGCTTGGAAAAAAACTAACGTGAAGCCTGAGAAAAAACTATTTGCAAGTATACACGTCAACCTAAAGCTTCAAGATGGATTGAACTTGTCCACTTCTCTCGCCATTTCCTATGAGATGAAGATGAGAAAAAGAATATCAGTCATATTTAAACGTATAAGATAAAATGTATTTGTTACAGGATATCCAAACATTTGCTAATTCATTTTATTCGAGTTTATTCCACTACTTCGTAAAGAGAGGGGAAATTAAAAACATGGAGTAATAATAATCTTTGCACTTGATATTGTGCCTGATCATTAAGTGCTCAAAGCATTTCATAGAACAAACTGTAAAGTGGTGAGACTATGTGTCCTTTGTGGGCAAACATGGCAGCCAATTTACACACAGCAACATCTCATAAACAGCCACAAAGTGAATGATTAATTTTATTTGACCAAAGTTTAAAAAAAGTACATTTGATAACAGACTACTTCAATAAAGATTACATTAAGGCTTGCAGAAACTTGCCACTCAGATCTCAAATCCAGAGGTGCACCAGTGATGTATAACTGATACACAGCACCACCAGAAAGCGTCATTTAGATCTTGCTTGCTGCAAGCCACAGGGAATTTGCTGACTGACTTGTTCATTGACAGGGCATGAGATGTCCCTAGAATCAAATCTGTTTCTTGGATAGGAAGAGCGTGGCAATGCCAATGGATTTTAGAGAATTATTGAACCAGAGTTGTGCCTACAATTATCCGCAAACTCCAGCTTTGATCTTAATCATGCTACTGGATGGAAGCCAATGACTCCCTTTAGGGGCAGAGAGAGAAAAAAATACTGTACAGACACTCTGTAAAAAGGAACATTGAACCATCCAAATCAATTACTTGTGCAATTTTCTGGAATACCATTATTAGTCAATTTAACCATCTTGCCCAATTTCAATTACTACTTGGCCAATTCTAGATCAACACATTTAAAGCCTTATATCAATAATGAAAGCACAAAAAATTATTCAAATTTAAAAGGTTACGTACCTGTACTAACATGGTCTTGTCAAATGCCTTGCGATGACAATAGATGCACTGACTGAGAATTGCATACAGCTTTTCAAGTTGAATTATATTGAATTGCTTACTTTTCTCAATAACCAATTTCAAAATACTCTGTGGGTGAACCATATTCAAGAACACAATTAGTCTCCGGGAAAAAATCCACATTCATAAAATACCACAGCAAAACTGATCTGATTCAAGGAGTTCAAGAAATAAAACTATGGAAAAACAACCATGTATACTGTAGGAAGCTTCCTGTGAATAGCACAAGTTCAACAGCACCTAGAAAGTGATGTCAGGTGCAACCTAATGATCAAGGATGTTGAACAAAACACAAAATACTGTAGATGCTGGAAATCTGAAACAAAAAGAGAGCGCTGGGAAAACTAAGAAGGTCAGGCAGCATCTATGGAGAAAGGAAAGTGAGTCAACGTTTCAGGTCCACGACGTTTCGTCAGAACACAAGGCTTCCTGACCTGCTGAGTTTTCCCAACTCTCTGTTTTTGTTTTTGATCAAGGATGTTGGCTGTTTATAGCGCAGGAAACTGGCCAAGCTCATGCACGTATGTTCTGTATGTTGATGGCTGTCCTAGATTGCACCCAGTTCCTCCCTACCAACCTGCTCGCTCCCTCCGTTCATCAGGCTCCGGCCTACTCCATGTCTCCCGCCCAACTCGCCCTACCATCGGTGGCCAGGCTTTCAGCCTCTCTGCCCCCACACTATGGACCTCCATCCCGCAGTCCCTTCACCTCGCTTGCTCCCTGGCCTCCCTCAAGGCCGGTCTCAAGACCCTCCTCTTCGACTGTGCCTTTGGTCTCCCTTCCACGTCTCTGCCATCCCTCACCCCAAACCACCCCTCCCCCATACTCGGGCTCCAACACCTGACTGTTCAGCGCTTCGGGACGTCCTCCCGACGTGAAAGGCGCTCTATAAATGTAATTTTGTTGTTGGCTAGAATTTTTTTGATCTCCTTACTGTATAAAACGATGATTATAAAATAGTAATGGTGATCGCATCATGCTCGCCACTGTCAAGTGCTCTGGGACGCGACCCTGTGAGGGGCGCTGTATAAATGCAAGTTGTTGTTGTTTATAAGTTTGGTGGTTGGGGCAGGATGGCCTAGATTTGCTTCCATCAGTATAGTTCTTTGGAGCTCCCAACTCTCATAGAGGCCGAGGAGAAATCTATCCATTGAAAATTAAGCACATGAACATAGTTCAACAATTAATTTTATTTCCCAACATTATAAAAACCCTTGGATGGTTCAATGGGCTTGCTTAAGAACATTTGAGGGACTTTTTTTTTTGAGTGGGAGCCAAATCAATTTGTGCCACCTGCATTTGTATTGCAACCGTGCATTTCAATAGTCTTGGCAAAAACTGTACAAGATAGACTTGCCAATGCCTTAAAACTGAAATTAAACTGGATATCTTGTAGCAAATGGATATATATAAAAAGGTGTATCTGGAAATCATGGAATATATACAATGCAGCTGATGTAGCAGACACGTGATTAATAAATGACATTTCCTCAGCATCAACTTCATTACATTTAAAATTCAGAAGCTGTTCAAATGTAAGCTGTTTACTAGGAAGGGCTCTAGTTTACAGAAATTCAATTCTGCAATGTTGCAGAATTGTAAAGCCACACCCCCACAACCTTTTAGTGAGTCAGGGATTTATTAAGAGTTATGTACATATTTAAAAAAGAGTGAAAATTAGTGGTGTTTTGATGGAAAGAGAAAAAAGATATTTTGCATAAAGGCTCTAAGTTTAGATAAACATAGGAACAAAAGCATTTTTCTTTAAAAAAATAAGAAAGCAATTTCAAAACAGAATGATAGAATATCCTCCTCCATAATATGACATACCTTTAGCCTCTCATGGTCTATAATTAAAGGTGGGGTAGGTTCAGATAAGATCTCCATTGCTTTCTCAACATGAATGTGTTGTTCCACTTGGTCACGTCTGTTGCGGGTCATCCGCAAAATTGAAAGTTTGTCTACGGAGGGAAATACAAGAAAAGGTCTTCACAATGTGCAGTCCAGCTTTTCTATCACCTAATTGAAGACTCTCAGTGATTACCATAGCATTCATTGTGGAAATATATATACACTTAAATCCTGGTTGGCTGGATTAATTGGGGGGGGGGGGAATCAAATATCATCAGTAAGTGCCAGTACTGGCACTGTAATCATCTGAATCCCAGGAGAAGGTAGCTTGTTTGCTAACTGATTTGAAGTTGATTTCCCTGGCCACTGTGAAGGCCAGCAACTTGGCGCAGCTGCTCAGTGCTCGGAGTGTTGGGCCGATGGGAGTCTACCCACTATGGAAATTTGTGGTCCGCAGAAATCTTTAGCTTTTCAGTTTCGGGCCTAGTCCGGCTAGGCTGGAATTCCAGATACCCGGAATCCAGTAAGCCGGGGTTTACTGTACCCTGCATTTACTGGGATAAGAGTTAATCATAAACAGAATAGGTGCAGCTTAAACTAATAAAATGTAGTCAAAACGTTATAGCATAGTACTAGGTCATTCATCTCATCAATTCTGTACCCGTGTTTCTCTCCACATGAGCCTATCTAATACTAGTTTCCTGCTCACTCTTCTTTATCATTTAATATTACTTCTCTACATGACTAACTCATGTAGAACTGGCTTCCTTGAAGGGAAGGGAAAAATGCAACAGGCTTTTCATGGATTTGATTTGGGGACATCCCCATGACGCAACTGCAACAATGTACATTTATACAACATTCTTCACTATGGGGAATATATAGTGGGAATTGGTGATACCTTATCTAAGCATACATAAAGCCATTTTGGTAATATAATAATTCATGCATTTTATATAGCGCTTTATCACGTCTTCGAGACGTCTCAAAGCGCTACACAGGATATACTGTAAATTGTAGTGACTGTATATTTTGTGGACGAAACACGGTTTATACATTTATGTTTGTATTTAAGTACATCATCAGGTTTAACTGCCCATATTCAAATACATAGGTAGCTGCAAATAAACAAACTTTGAACACTCCCATAAACATCAAAGAGCAGGTAAATCAGATTATTTTAGCAAATAATTTGTCTGCGACAAATCTCTCCAGTTTCAAAACATTAACAAACTTCATCCAACGCATGAATTTATCATTGGGTTGGTCCACTCATTTGATATACATATCCAATACTTTGAATATGCATCTTTCATTTACAACCATTAATTAATTAAGTGTAAAATTTATCATTCCGACTAACAATATAACACAGAATTTCCTCCTCTTCCCTTTGGAAGTCATTTGACACTATCCAAGATCTCCAGCCAAGGCAAGAACTGACCCCAGCCAATATTTTTGTAACATTTTGCAACAGACATGGATTTTACTATAATAAGTACACAACTGTTTCACTTAACTCTCAAAATACCTTACAAAAACATTTACATAGGCATGATAGCCATGCCCTTCTATATACACACTTGTAGAATGATGTTCTGTATCTCCCTTTCTTTCCTGGTGTTTATTTGTTTTAATTCCCTGTTTTTTAGTAGAATCTCCATTACCCAGTTCACTTTCTTCTTTTTTTGCTTGATCAGGAGAAATGGTCTTCTTGCCCACAATTTCACCTGCATCCATCAGTGCATTATCAGTCTGTGCTTCCATTATCACATCAGTTTGCACAGGCTCCACTTCCTCAGCCAGCCTGTGCTTTACATCATTTGGTTCGCTATTGAGAAGCTGTTCTTGCTCAGTTTCTATGGAAGAATCACCATTGTAGTCTAATTCAGTCTGATCGAGACTTGAATCATTGCACTTTTCTACCCCGTTACTGGCCTCTTCGCTATCATCTTCCTCGTATATGACCCTCTGTGGAGGTTTTTTGCGCTTGAATATGATGCCACGATCCCATCGCCTGGTTCTCCGATACTTTTTCTTTGAATAGCCTAGGACATAACAAACAAGAAAAATAAAAGCATTATGGCATTTCAAAACAACCTACTCAGTGATGTAGATTCTGGGAAAAGTCTATAAATAAAACATTCTCATCTACACCAAATCCAACATGTTACTTGAACAAGGACAGTTTCAGTTCTCTCTCTATATCCCTTTTCCTCTCCTGAAGGACCCAGGGTACCAGTAAATTGTCCAAATGGTCATTCTTCCTGAGGCCAGATAATAAGAAGCAATAGGCTATTTAATCTGGGCATCAAAGCCAAACATTCCTGAAACTCACCAGATGACCACTGTCCAGCAAGGCATCACTGAATAAGGATCAAAAACAGAAACCCTGGTTCATGGATATTTGTTGTCATCACCCTACGACCACTACAGCTAAAAATAGTGAACCAAATAGAACGGAAATAAAACCCAGGACTTTTGAGTCTCTAAGGCTCAGTTTCATACAAATCAGTGGTTTTACTTATTGAACCATTGATATTTAGTTCCCAGGATATTTAGTTAACCAATTAAGACATTACAATAAGGTCTTAATTACATTTTGGGTTAATATAGTCAAACAGATATGATTACTAACAGCAGTCATATATGGGACAAGTGCAGCAAGTCCATTCACCTCCGTCCCGGAACTGGATTGACAATGTCCAGATTGAAATCTGGAATGAAGAGACAGGCGAATGGTCCAATGAGACTATTTTAGCTGTATTACAGTAATTTAGCTCCCATGTTAACTTATTTTTGAGATTCAACTTCGAAGATCAGTCAAAATATCTAAAAAAAAATTTTTTTTAATTGAAAATATTGGATTTTTTAAAAAATCCTTGAAACTGTAAATGCCTTCAGAACAGTCTGGACTTGACTTGCAAATACTTGCATCAGTTATTTTGTTTGTTCAGACTGAATAAATGTGATTTCAATTCACCATCATTTAAATTATTGATTTTATTCTAAAAATCGTGCAGATGTTTTGGTCAGTATTACCTGCCTTGAAATTCTAAACATTCACACTAGTAAGTTATTTTTTGCTGTCCTGCAAAATCTTTTGAATATTTCACATTTCATCATGTTATTCCACAGAATAGGAGATTTTCTAATTCTCCACCAGGAGGCAAAAATCACAGATAGACATAACCTCTTGTCTGACTGAATAAAGTATGGTAGCAAACTGAGAAAGGTGGTAAATTAAAAATGAGACACAGAAAATAAACCTTGAAGATTTTAACAGTAGGAAATGAATATTTTTGACCACTCACCTAAAGAAACTGAAGGTGTGCTTGCATCAATTGGTGCTGATATTGCTTCCATTCTTTCGCATTGAGAAACCTCTGCTGCAGAATTCTTTGGTAAAACGTGATAAAATGTGGGTGCAAATTTTGAAGAATAGCAACCTATAATAGTGAAAGCAGAATGAAAGCATTTGGATAAAATAAGTTCATCACATAATAATGATTCCATTCTCTTAAGCTCTCTCTTAAACATTCTTTAATGCCAAACCCCATTTAAGAGAGTTTAAAAGTTGGAAAGTAATCCAGGTGTTTGCCTGACACCTGCGACAGACAAGCTCTTCCACATTAAACATCTCTTCATTAAGTGAAAGAAGGTATGGACCACAGAAAGTGAACAAAGAAAAAAAAAATACCTCTGTTCTTTCGAGATTCCACAATTTCTTCGCACACTTTTTCAAATTCTTCATCAAGTTCTGATTTTACAATAGCATTGGCAGCGTCTTTTAGAGCACAAGCTCTGTGTCTGATCAGACGGTCTGAGAAATCAATTAGAGTACAAAATTACATTTGTAAAGCGCCTTTCATGTCGGGCGGACGTCCCAAGGTGCTGAGCAGCCAGGGATGAGGGGACCTGAGCCGGTGGGGGTGGCGCAGGGCAGAGAGGGGAGGAGGGTAGTCAAAGAGGAGGGTCTTGAGGCGTGCCTTGAAGGAGGCAAGGGAGGGAGCGAGGCAAAGGGAATGAAGTTCCAGAGGGTGAGGGCAGAGAGGCTAAAGGCCCAACTGCTGATGGTGGGGCGGGCCAGGTGGGGGACATGGAGCAGGCATTTGAATTCTTTAAAGTTCTGCCTGCTGACCAGAAGGAGCAGAAAGGTTGATAAGGGGTTAGGAGGTCGGAGTTAGGAGGGGGCAAGGTCATGGAGGACCTTGAAAGGAAAATAATTTTGAACTCGATCTTCTCAGGGATGGGAAGCTAGTGGAGCCAGGTGAGGGTGGCTGTGATGGGGTCACGAAGCCTGGTGCAGGAGAGGACATAAGCTGCAGAGTTCTGGATGATCTGCAGCTTGTCGAGGGAAGTCGGGGAGGCTGACAAGCAGGGTGTTGGAATAGTCGAGGCTGGTTGTAATGAAGGCATGTATGACAGTTTTGGCAACTTGAGGGATGAGGCAGTGGCGGAGTGGGGCAATGTTGTGGAGGTGGGGAAAGGCAAAGCGGGGCATGGCATGGATGTGGGGGAGGAAGGACAGTTGAGGGTCGAACAGACGTCTAGGTTCCTGACTGGCTTGGTGAGGTGGAGTGCGCATCCGTAGATGCTGATGCTACCAGTATCTGAGGTACGGAAGCGCTGGCGTCAGCTAATCAGGTGAGCCTGGGTCTTGCTGACGTTCAACTGTTGGCTTTATAGATTAATCTCTCTGCCTAAAATTACATTAATTTTAGAATTCTATACACAAGATTAGTCACCTTTTATATCCTGTAATTTGACTTTGATAAACAGAAGTTTTATTGGCTACCTTTCAATGGAAAGAAAATTCAAGGTCATGCATCAAACTCCAGCACAGCGATTTCCTCAGATATAGAAATTTAACCCTTCATTCTACAGCATGCATTTGAATTCTTAAAGTTCTGTCAAGATGCACTTAAAATCTTATTTTGGACATTGGAACTCTAACAGATTGGATACCAGACAAAAACTTGGTTTCTTTCTTCACTCCCTCCCCCACACCCCCATATACTCACCTCCAGGATCTCGATCAGGATTGTACTCCAAAGCATTATTGCAGATTAATTCTACGTCTTGAAGATATTCTTTCACTGTCATATATTTGTGAAGGTCAATGTTTGACATCACAGTAGAAAGGTCCATTGGTTGTCCGATGACAGTGCAGTAATCTGGAACCTAAATTGTACAGTTATGTTCAATACATTACATCACATTGCTGTACAAAATGTTCAACTTCTCCTCCAGATTCTCTTGAATTCTAAATTATTATATTCTCCAAGCAAGATGTCATATAATTTGGATGATAGGAAGAGGAAAGGCTGTTCAGATCATCAGGCTTGTTACACCAGTTTAGATTACGGCAGACCGTTTAACCCATTCCCTTAATTAACACCCTTATTTCCGCTGCATCTATCTATAGCAACATGGGAAATTTAAATGTAATGGATGAACAAGATAGCCATGAAAACATTGTCCGTTTGGTAACATGTCCCATCAAATGTAAATCCTACATGGTTAAAGCTAGGACAGTAACTGAAACTGAATGAAGCCTCCATATTTTCAATGTACAGAAACACAAACTTCACTACTATACTCCTTTAGAGAATGTTTTCAGGATTCAAGGAAGCCTGGTGTACAAAATCATGAGGGGTTTTGACAGGCTAGAGAGATTCATTCCACTAGCTAGGGAGTCAATAACTAGGGCACTTAGCCACAAGAGCGAAAAGAGAACTGAGGAGGAAATTTTTTTAAACTTAAAAAAAGTTGGTGTGTGGATTGTCCCCCTGAGTAGATTCCATCGTAGTCTTCAAGAGAGAAGCAGACAGGCACATGAAATAGAGGGGCTTGAAGGGGGTTGGGGATAAAATAGGGCGTTGGGATTGAAGCAATTTTGTTGCCCCGTGAGCTGGTGCAGACTCGATGAGCTGAATGGCCCCCTTCTATGCTGTAGATTTCTATGTTTCTACCTCAACTTCCAAAACTGGGAAGTGAATCCTGACAGTGGCCAGGCATTTTATTGGTTTAGAATGGCACTTGATTACCTGAAGTAAAGGGATTATACTCAATTTCAGTGGCTTTTTGAATTTTTTCATGCTGTTGGCAGGACAACCACAAACAGTATTTACCATTCTACCAGCAGCAAAAAATTAAGGTTATACGGAACCTTCAATTTGACATTTAATCAAATTGGCAATTATAAAAGATTTTAATTACAAAAGAAACATACATTTTAAATTGCGTTTCAATCAATCATTCGCGGGATGGCACGTAAACAATTTATACCTCCTCAAGATCTACAGGCTTCATGAAGGCTCTGAAGCGTTTATCATTTGCCAGTCGGAGAGTCACATCACGCAAGAAAAGCCTTAACTCTCGAAGAGTGCCTTCTTCTTCCCCTTCAAGCCGCTTTAGCTCCTCCTCGGAGAGACGTCGTGGTTCGGGAGGTGGTGCTACTGGAAGGACTTCCAATGCCTGAAACACTAAAAACCCCTCCTTTAAAGTACAGTTATTTTCATATAAGCTACTAAGAAAAGAAAAAAATACTGTTCTTTTCAGATGCATGCAAATAAACAACATTTCATTGAGACTTTCCACTTAAGATTATATAATAGGCTATAACTTGATCTTCTTAATGGTCAATATCACTATTGATACGTATGGATTATTTCTCCCTCCCCCTCCGAAATAGAGTGATTCAATTCTTAGTTGCCAACTTTTTTCCCAAGTGGTCATTCTTCATGTGCAAACTCAGCTATTAGCAAGCTATTGGATTCATAGGAGAAATTACCTTTATTTGCAAACTTGATGCAAGGGAAATTTGAAGACAGACCAAGAAAGGGAAATCAGAGTAAAGTGTCAGGATTTTACAATCTTACAAAGAGCTCAACAGTATATTATGTACATAGGTACACTGACAAATTAACCTCTTCACAGATAAATCTAAGGGTCTTTACATATGTTAAAATAAGAGGCACATGTGTGTCATGATTTGGACAGCTGGCATTTCATGGGAGAAGAGACCTTGTTGACATTTAGCTCATATTTGAGACAGCAGTAAACAGGGAATAGGAGCTGGGCTATAACGATCAAATCAGTTGAGTTCAGATCTCGTGCTCAAATAGAGGGCTGCACCTGGAATACTGTATATAACTCTGGTCAACGTGACATCAGAAGACCCTGGAGGCAACACCAAGGAGAGCAATGGGGATGACCTAAGTCAACTAATTGAGCTAGGGCTCCAGCCTAAAAAAAAACAAAATTTAAAGGCACACAAGAAAGGAATGAGAAAGCAAAGTTGGGAGTACACAAGTTCAAATTGCGGTGATAATGTTAGGAGAAACCCTAAGAAGTACTTCTTTACATAGATGGTGATTAGCAGCTGGAATAAATTACCAGACGGAATAACGATTAGGACAAAGTACATTTATGAAACAGCTTGATGGTATAAACAAACAGTAGGGCTGGTATTCCGGAAGGCTGAAATCAATTTGGTTAAAGGGCGTTTTTCATCTGAACTCTTTCTTGGTGGATCATGTCCTCTCCTGCTGTGCAGTTCCAGGAAGGGTCACTGAAGAACATTCAGAGACCTTTGTAGTTAGTCGCAGTGAAAGATATAGAATTATATTGATGTTACCCAGGAGATTAGTTTATTAGATCAAAGAGCAAAATCACAAAGTTCAAATTCCTAAGCAAATTTTGAGACCTACAAAATCTTTGAAATTCAATACTTGATAAATAATTTGATAATCTGCTCAAATACCACACATACATATCAGTGCAGTGACGTGCTGCAATTTTTGTGCTTCTGCAGCACAAACTCTTAACTTACTGGCTTTTCTTTTTGATGATGGGGGCTTGGCAGCCTGTCTTAATATAAGATCTTCAAAGAATTTCTTTCTTTCTTCACTGCCGGGAAGCTGGACATTGAAAACTTCTCCGTAATGACAAAGAAACATCTCTTTCACCTTTTAAAATAATTAAAAAGAGGCACATAGGTCAGATGCAAAAACAGCAGATGGGTTGGAATTAATTTCAAGCATGTAATAGTCATAGGGTTTTGACAGTCTAAACCACAGAAAGGTTGAAATAGAAGTGGTACGCACAATTTAACATTTTGTAATTTGAATGATTACGTTGGTCAGGTTCTTGGCTTGGTGTTCAAATCCCTTCACTCTCTGACACCTCCCAACCTAAGTGTTAAGCAGTCTGAGATGCTACCCTGGGTGGAGGGCGCTCTATAAGTGCAAGTTGCTGTTCTGGTATCTTTAGACAATTTGTGTTTTAGGAAGCTTATCTACCAATTTTCTTATAAATGTAGATGGGAAAAGGGACAATATAAACATTGTGATGAAAGCACTTGACTACTTGGCATCATATGAAAGAAGGCACTGTAACCACAAAAATAGTGTGCTGGGAGAACATAATTATCTGTTTGAGCTATTGATCAACTGGGGCAATTGTATTATTTTAAAACAAACTTGTTTTGGTCATGCTATCCTTTATAGATGACAATCAAAACCTGCAAAGTGGTTTGGACTAGTTTAAATACTTTGTAACAAAATGTCAAGGATTGCAGCAAAAGGAATATTCACCTCATCTGGCAGTTCAATGTGTGGGATGTCGCATGTCGCCAGCAGCAAGATTGGGGTAAATGAGGGAATGTCCTGAAGTAATGTAATGAACGTAGCTCTCAGGGTGTCTCCAATCGAATCCCACCAATGATGAACGTGAGGGATGTAGAGTATACTCGGGGCTGTCCTTCTTGCTTCTCGGAAAAGCTGACAAGAGTAAAGAATCACAAAACTAACCAGGTAAAAATACTGACACTATCTTTACATAAGCAATGATTTTGCAAGGTAAGAACCAGTCATCCAATATAAATAATATTCTAATTTAGATACTCTAAAGACTCAATGAGGAGCAACTTCTGCAACGTGTTGTCCAACAAGTATATAGTCTGCACTGGGACTCTTCCAGTGAAACCAATCCTTTATATCATGGGTTATCCTCGATACTAAACTATGAGCCCAAATGTTATTCTCAGACAGTCCTCACTTCAGTGTCATCTTGCCTCAGAGTCAAAAGGTTGTGGGTTCAAGTCCCACATTAAGACTCTGAGCTCATAAAATCTAGGCTGATAATGCAGTGCTCCTCCAAACACTGCAATGAAATGTCTGAGGTGCTGTCCTTTGGATGAGATGAAATCAAGATCCTTTCTGCCTGTTTGGGTGGAACTGAAAGATGACATGGCACTATTCAACAGAGAATGGAGTTTTTCCCTTGGCTCAGAATCCTTCAGGATAAAACTGTCCATTCACTTCATGGCCGTTTGTAGGACACATCTTTGCAAAAAGAGACTGTTTACAAATAAGTTTGCTTACAAAATCCAGTCCAGTAAATCCTGTTTAGTGCTGAGTCGTTGACAACAACTTGATATGGTTCTATATCAAATGAAAGCATTATCATCACTACATTATTCTGTGATAACCTGATATGTGCAATCTGGAATATATTCCTATTTTCATGTCCACAATGGGGCCCAACCCCAATTATTACCGTTATTGGGCTCATTTCAAGTGGAGTGATATTGGTTATCCACTAGATAGATTTTAGATCTTGCAATACACTGGAAAACATCAAATAAATTCAAATAAAATTGTAGTAAAACGTCTGCCCAAGTTTGAATCATTCAGAATATAAAGTTGGCTCCATAATACACTCCTGGTATAGCTCAAGTCTATTTACAACATAGGATGTAATTATGGACCCACGGTATCCTACACAAACTGTAAGACATCTTACCTGTGCACAGGTTTCTTCAGGTGATGTAGCACTAACACCATACAGGACTGGAAGATCAAATGTGTGAACGGTAAATTTTTCCAAGGTGTGAAGCAGTGCTGGAGCAAGGTGTGAACTCTGACCTGAACCTGGTTTTCCAGACAGTAATAACCGTGGTCGATAGGATGTTGGCTCATGATAGGCACGCCTAAACAAAACGTTTTTTGCTCAAATAAAATATTAATACTCAGACATGAAACATTTACATCAATAAGTTAGTAGCAAAACAAAGATGTCTCAAATGTTGCAGAAAAATAGCAAACTTTTTTGCTCATACTTGCAATTTAAAAAGTACATCAAATTCAAGTATTAAAGGGAAAATACATCTGGGGAAGCACTTTTAGCCTCAGAAAGGAAGCTTAAGTTGGTTCTCCTTCCTCACTAGAGTGCCAGTGGGGTTACTGATGGGAAGCAATTCCATACATCCAAAGTGATGGAAAGCACTAAGTGTCAGCCTGGATTAGTTAGCAGCACTTTCAAGAGGCATGAACTCTGTTTGATTCAGAAACTCTTAAGCATGATGGTTTTCCACACATGTCAAGACACCCGACTGACAATAATAAATTGGTCATTTTCAATCCACGACTGTTTGTGGGACACTGCTGTGTACAATTGGCTGACGCGTTTAACCCACAAATATACAGTCATTCCACTTTACAGCATATTCTGTGAAGCACTTTGAGACGTCTAGAAGTTGTGGAAAGTGTTATATCAAATGCAAGGATTATTATTTATTATAACAAAATTGACAGTAAATAAATACAAGGATACAGAAACTTCTCAAGGAGAGGTTGAAACCGCAGTTATCTGTGCATTCAATTTGCATCCACACAGCTGAGCTCGTAGTAGCAAGTTTAAAAATATATCCCACACCCCAAATCAGCGAAGTTTACTTACCTACTAAAACAGAGGAAAGATCCTTTGCCTCCCTGCTTACTAGCTGATTTCTTAAGAGGCCCATTTTCAAATACTGATGGTTCTTCATCATCACTGTACATATCTTCTATTACAAGACTTGCTTTACCTGTTAGGTATAGTTTTCAAAAGGATTTTTTGTTATAGATTTGATACTATTCCACAAAGCTATAAGTTTTGAAAGATCTACCCTTTCCAAAAAAGAATTGGAAATTGTGATATTCCTGAAGACATTTCACTGCTTGAATTATTGCCGGTGGTGATGTAGAAATTGTAGTTAAAAATGTGCCCTCTTCTTTTTAAAAAAAGTCTTTAATGACAGCTTTAGGACTGAACACTTCCCACTTGCCTATAATGAGACTGGTTTCTCTCTCAGGTTTCAGTAAATTTGGCTGTTTTACAAAGAGATATTTTTTGATTTTTGAAATTGGGCTTTGAAGTCACAAATTGCAGTGCTGCCATCAGAATTTACTGTTAACAAATGGTGTGCCCTATGTCTCATGAGTATCCTTTAAGCAGTGGGTTAAATATACTATCTTTTAGGATAATTTTGACACACTTTTGGTACAATTTGAGACAAGGCACAAAAGGAGTTGCATAGTCTAGTTGTCATAGATCTACAACCCAGAATTACCTACAGAAAGGTCATGAAGATTACTGGTGTTGAAACTGGTAGGAGGATGTTTGTAGCGGATTCCGAGGGGAAATGCGGCTGCACCTTTCTATTGGCCCAGGTGATGACACACAACCTTAGGCAAGCACAAAAATACAACAACATGCATCCCCACATACATTATTGAACATTAACCCAGTAACCCATTGTTCTCTCAGATTTGAAATAAGTAGTAATCCTTACCAATCTCACAGCTCTTTTTTAAACCTTGCTCTGCATGTGGGAAAACTTTCTTCAAGGCTTCAAGTATTTTATAAAAGGTCTTGTCAAAAAGTGGTCTGACAACAAACGATAGCGCTTGTCCAGGCGAGGATACCGCCCGCTGAGAAGCTGGCACAATCTTCTGCATGGCCATTACAAAGTCTTTAGCACTGATGTTAATAGAGGATATATCAAGTTGCAATTTCTCATTAGTGGTGTAGATCTGGGGATAACGGCGACGCAAGGCACACAGGGCTGCTTCAGTACAGACAGATTTAATGTCAGCACCACAATAACCTGCGGGTGAAACAAAGATGCTAGTGGCTACACATTTACATTCTTAAATATTCATCAGCAATGTAAAATCAAATGTAGCGCATTTTAAAACAAATCTTACATATATATGAATCAATTAATCAACAGGGTTAGTTCCTCCTCACTTACTCAGCCTCTAATTTTATTTTTTAAACTACCCCCAAGAAAATCGACTCTCCTGATCTTTAGGGGAAGGCAAAACCCAACGATGCTCTTGGAATCAATTAAATGTCAGGTCAGAATAAATAGGCAAGAGTGTACCATTGTCATATTCCTGAAGGGTACTTCATCTCCAGTGTAGCCCTGCTTTTGGCAAAGGTTTCTTGGTCTTACAATTTATCTAGCTAGACACTGTTTAAAAAGACACCACTACAGGTATCAGGTATTCCTCAACCTGGTCTTCAAACAAATGTAATTCTAGGAAACATATTCTTGTTTGAAGACCAGGTTGAGGAATTCACAAAACCTGCAGTAATTTTAGGAAACATTTCTGTTTGCCATGCAGAAGGCAAGGAATCTCTGTGAAGTAAAATGGCCTGGGCTGCATATCTATGATGTTTGGCTGCCTTTTGCTTCAGCAACTCCGCTGCCTGACTGCAATCGAATTTGGGTGTCTGGATTAACTTAACTCAAAGTCACAAGTATTTGAAGTATACCAAGCGAGTATAGTATAGCATTTCATCCCATTTATTCAGTTCTCAAAAAGTGAAGTTTTCTCTTGGCCCAAGACTTACTTTAATGCCTTCAAGCAATTCTAGATGTAAGATTGGTAAATGAAGAGGTAAAAACGTTTTACTCTCCATTAAATGCTCATGATCAGTTTCAATATTTCAAAATAAAATGGTTTCCAGAACTATTCTAATTTGAAGACCACGAGTATTTGCACAATATTATATATTTGCAGGAATCGTGGGATAATAGTCCCTCTTAGTTAAAGGATATTCCAGCTATTTCTTTTTGCAAGGTCATAGAATTACTAAAAAAAAACCTACCTATTTGTAGTTTCAATACTGGTTTTAAAACAAGTTCGAAAACAGATGTGGCTCGGGAGATGTGTCCAATTTATTACTTACCCACACACTTTTCTCCCAGTTCATCAAGAAATGTATCTGATGGTTTGGGGTTCCAATCCCTTGTGTGAATTTTCAGGATGTCTTTGCGAGCCTAATAACAACCAAGTTCAGAAAAGATTACGATTTTTTCTAAAATTAAGTTGTTTTTTAATTTAAGTGTGGAGAGATCAGTCTCGGAAGCGACTCAGACTGCTTTCAGACAGCAATTAGGACAGCTAAATATCAAGATCGGTCAGAGAAGTATTTGCTAAGGCACAGGTGGTGCATTGTACAGTACGACTCTAAAGAGAAGATTGTTTTCTAAAAACATTTGTGTTTATATCTTTTATGTAAATGAATGTCTCGCATGAGTTGCCAAACACAGTGGCAAGGTACCAATGAAGGAAATAAAGAGAATTGACATAAACATGTTGACCAAAGACACGGTCAAAGCAATATATTTCATAACAATTGTGAAAAGTGGTAGCAAAGCAACGGGACGTTGCATGAGTGTGAGACAGCCATGATAGTTGAAGCCTCGACCACAGTTGGTGAAGCAAAGGGAGAGAAGATGAGCAAAGGGAAAGGAGAGAAGCAGATTAGCCAGAAGAGTGGAGGGTACCGGCTGGAAACGGTTAATGTATAAAGTGGGAAGAGACCCACTGAAGATTAGGATAAAGATCTTTAAAGTCTTCTTTGGTCAAGTTTGCAAGAAACTTGAGATGCAGCATTCTGGATCAGGTTAAGCTTCTGGAGAGGAATTAGGGAGGCTAACGAGGAAAGATTTGGATAGGCTAAGGCCAACAGAAGGATGGATAGGAATGTTAACAGCGGGGGAGTTAAGGTTACAAATGGATAATGTTCCAGGAATAGAAAGTGACAATCTTGGCAATGGACCTACTGCAGTGTCTGAAATGCAGCTCAGATGAAAAAAATAACTTGGCAGTGAAAACGAAACATAAAAATGCTCTTTTGCAAAAATACGCCTAATTAAATGGTCAATTTCTGTCTTAGGACATTATGCAATTTAAAAACATGAAATTTATTCCTATGATCATCAAATTACTACAATATAGATCCCTTTAGCTATGCTAACTTAATTAAATAAGGCAGATATACTTACATCTTTGTCTGGCAGGCCAAAAAGAAATTCCCTGTCAAAACGCCCAGGCCGCCTTAAAGCAGGATCTATGGAATCCAGTCTGTTCGTTGCCCCTATCACCACGATCTCACCTCTGCTATCCAATCCATCCATCAGGGCTAGTAAAGTAGACACTATAGAACTGAAAAGATTTTAGGATTAAACCTTCATTTTGCTGTTCCATAATTTGAATTTTTTTAAATAAACACATGCATTCCTAGATTCTTAAGCTTACTACAACAAAGTACAGCAGTCCTTTATTGTGAAGAGAATACTTGTCACAATTTAGCTATGAAGTAAATTAAAGATGCACTTATCGTTAATAGTAGAATTCCTTGACACGGGACAAATTTGTCCGTTCTCCTGCATCTTAACCGCATTTTGCAGACAGAAGACATGCATTTTCCAAACAAGATTTGCTTGCTAAATCACTACCCAACAGCACGCCATAAGCCACTGAAGTTTTAAACATTACATACCTATGTATCTGATCTTGCCGACTGGAACGGACAGGAGCCAAACCATCTACTTCATCAAAGAAAATAATTGAAGGACGCATTAGGTAGGCCTTAAAAAAAAAGACAGATTTTAAGTTCAGAGGGCAAAAGAATGTCACGTTCTGTGTAACATTTCAGCTGCTTTTACGATCAGTTTTATGCAAGAAACAACACGTATTGTGGAAAAACTATCAACTACAGATGAAACAAAAAACATCACCACATTTAGGAGCACCCAAACTAGACACAGTATGCCACAACACATAGAAATTCCTGTGCATCAGGAATGGAAAGCACATTTCCCTGGAGGTTGCACTCCGTTTACCCAATTTCAAAAGGGTGGCAAGAGTCAAGGCTTGGGGTCCCTGTTTGTAGTGTGCACAGAGATAATGCTGGAATAAAACCAGAGTGCCTTGGAGAACTGCGCACCTCCCTGACTCAGGAAATGAACAACCAAAACCAGCACAGATTAATAATAGACCAAATTGCCTATATTGTCACTTTACTAAGTTAAAATACCAAATGTATTAGATTATCTCCTCTTCTATCCCCATTCCACTCCTTATCTCTCAGCTCCACCTCCTTGGCCCACATATCAGACATCGTCAACCTGTTCCTCTCCTCTGGCTCTATTCCCATTCCCCTAAAAACTGCCATCATCGCTCCCACCTAGAAAAAAAACCCCTTTGATGCGTCGCAGCTATCAAGCTACCGGCCCATCTCCAACCTCCCCTTCCTGAAAGAGTTGTCACCTCCCAGCTGCACTCTTTCCTCTCCACCCATGCATTATTCATACCCCTTCAGTCAGGTTTCCGTGTTACCCATAGCACAGAACCCGCCCTGGTCAAGGTCACCAATGACAAGTTGACCATCTGCGACCGGACTCCCTCTGTCTCCTCGTCCTATCGGCAGCATTCAATACGGTCGACCACGCTATCCTCCTCCACCGCTTGTCCTCCCACCTCAACCCTCAAGGCCCTGTCCTTGAGTGGTTTAGGTTGTACCTCTCCCACCGTCTTCATTTTGTTTCCAAACGGCTTTTCCTCCAGCCCCCGCATCGTCTCGTGTGGTGTTCCTCAGGGCTCTGTCCTCGGTCCCCTCCTCTTCACCCTCTATATGCTCCCCGTTGGTGACATCATCCGCAGACATGGGGTTAACTTCCACATGTATGCGGATGACACCCAACTCTACCTTTCCTCCTCTACCCCCAACTCCACGACCACTGATGTCCTGACACCCTGTCTGTCTGACATCGAGTCCTGGACGAGAGACAACTTTCTTCAGCTCAACGTGCGCAAAGTTGAGGCCCTCCTGATTGGCTCACGTCAGCGCCTCCGCACCTCAGGCACTGACAGCATCAGCATCCAAGGCTGCACTCTCCACCTCTCAAAGCCGGTCAGGAACCTCGGGTTCTGTTCGACCCTGAGCTGTCCTTTCTTCCTCATATCCGCGCCACAACTGGCACCGCCTTCCATCACCTCCAAAATATCGCCAAACTACGGCACTACCTCACCCCTCACGCTGCTGAAACCCTGGTTCACGCCTTTGTCACCTCAAGGCTGGACTATGGGAACTCTCTCCTCGCCGGCCTTCCCGGCACCTCCCTCCACAAGCTGCAGGTCATTCAGAACTCTGCAGCTCGTGTACTGTCCCGCACCAGGCTTCGGGACCACATCACTCCCACCCTCGCTCGCCTCCACTGGCTCCCCATCCCCCAGAGGATCAAATTCAAGATCCTCATCCTCACCTACAAGGCCATTCACGGCCTTGCTCCCTCCTACCTCTCCGACCTACTATCCCCCTACTTACCTGCCCGTACCCTCCGTTCCTCTGGCTCCGGTCTGCTCCACATCCCCCGCCTCAACCGCCTTACCATTGGTGGCCGGGCCTTCAGCCACTCAGCCCCCAGGCTCTGGAACTCTATCCCCCAGTGCCTTCGCCGTCTCCTCCCTTTCCTCCTTCAAGGCCGGTCTCAAGACCTTTCTCTTTGACCGTGCCTTCAGCTCCCCTCTCGACTCTCTACCCCCTCCTCACCCCCTCCCCTCCCTCCCCTCACCCTGACCATTTCCCCCAACTGTCCAGCGCCTTGGGACGTCCTCCCTACGTGAAAGGTGCTCTATAAATGAAATCTTGTTGTTGTTGTTCTGAGCCACTATTTAGCAGCAGGAGGAATCCTGCTGGATTCTCCTACATACACTGTCACTGCACTTCACAGTCAATCTTGTGAAATGCTTTCAGATGTTCTCCTGAGGTGAAAGGTGCTATATCCAATACAAGGAATATTATTATTAATGATAATTATTATAATATTCAATTATGTAAAAAAGCTTCACAAACAATTGCTGTAACGACTATTTGCAGGCACAGAGTATAAATTGGTTCAAGAAGCAAATTGCGACTGTCTAAAGTGAGGGAGATGGCAGTATATAATATAAAAAAGCAGGTATCTATATAAAGCCCATTGGACCTTTTCCCATTTTAACAAATGACAAATATTTGGCAAATTACCAAACAAAGTTTTGAACAGTTACCAATTGTTTGCACATTCAAATTCAAGGATTTTGAGAATTCACGGTTCTAACACAGAAAAATAAATAGATCAACATCTACAAGCCTGTCTGAGAGCTCCATCTCTGTGGGAGGCTACAATATTGTTCTCTTTCAAGAATTTAAGGTTCAGGCCACACAATTCATGATTTGATAGAAAATTACTTCATGTAACGTAATTTTTGAATACATATTAACTCTATTGAGAAAATGGGCATAATCACAATTTTTAAGTTACCTGATCAAAAAGCAGCCTTAATTGTCTTTCAGACTCTCCTACCCATTTACTAAGGCAATCTGCACCTTTTCGCATGAAAAAAGAAACTCTCCGATCTCCTTGGCTGCACTCATTGGCTAGTGCTCTGGCAACAAGAGTCTTTCCAGTACCAGGAGGACCATAGAATAAGCAACCCCTAAAAATTGAAAGATGAACAGCAATTATAAATAAAATCTCACTCATGCACCTCCCTTCCTATCAGGATTACTGGCAGCAAACGACAAACTACACATCTAAAACTTGCTCGAGTTACAGCTGAAAGAGGAACAATAGGTTTTTAAAATTACGACCAAAATAGTTGCCCACAACTACCAATTACTTCCCTTCGGAAGGCACACCATTCTTCCTTCTACTGGAGGAAAAGTTGCAACTACTTGGTGCCCTCTATTACCTCGTCTATAATCATTATTTGTGTGAGTTTAGATAACCCATTGCAGGAGGTATCACAACAGTGCCGGATTTTGTCCTGGTACCTGCACATAATGAGTGAACACGTTCATTTCCCCTTGCTCTGCATTTGTTGCTGCTAGATGAAATAAGCACAGAATGAGGAGGCTAATCTAGGACCATCACGGTCTTTATGGTTCAGATATTCACTGAATAAATGTAATAACATCCAGACCATATTGTAATAAAGAAACACAGGATACTGGGTAGAATAGTGCTCTGGACGCTACCATGCATGAGGGGCATATATAAATGCAAGTTTTGTTGTTGTTGAATATAGTTTTACAAAGATTTTTTCTTCTACAGCTCAAGGGCATGTTTTAAACAAGCTATCCCTGTACAAAATTTAAAAAAATCAGATACAGTATCTTTGTATATCAATAATTAACATTGCCAAATGGCCATAATGCATTCTCCTTAATTAACTAACTGCAGACTTTTAAACATCTCAAAGCATGAAGATCCAAACAGAATTGTGGAAATTTGTTCCATACCTTGGAGGTTGAATTTTAAACCTTTCAAACACCTCAGGGTAAAGTAATGGAAAAACAACCATCTCCTTCAATGCAGCGATGTGACTTGAAAGTCCACCCACTCTATCAAAACGGACCTAAAATACAAAAGCAGACTTGTGTCTATAAAAATGCTATTTTGAAACTTTATTCATGAATACTTTTAAAATACAGAATTCCACCCCCCATCTCACCCAACTGTAGTTGCTTGTGTTATACAGCCTAACAAAAAACTGTTGCCATGTTAACACGCAGGAGAAAAGACATTATTTTTTATTAAAACTAGTCAAATTGTTGACCAATTGTTGTCAAATACAGGTTAGACGGAAAACAATGGTTATGGTGCATATGACTTGGATTGGAAACTAGCATAAACTCAATAAATCGGTGGTGTTATGACTTTTTAAAGTATTCACATTGAATGTTCTGATGTAACAATGCGATTTTAGCACTGATCTACTGAAGACAAGCAAAAGTTTCTTTATGACAATGCCTTAATAATAATAATAATAATCCTTGCATTTGATATAGCGCTTTTCACGTCGGGACGACGTCCCAAAGCGCTTCACAGAATATACTGTAAAGTGAATTGACTGTATATTTGTGGGCGAAACGCGGCAGCCAATTGCGCACAGCAGTGTCCCACAAACAGTCATGGATTGAAAATGACCAATTTATTATTGTTTTTGGAGGGATTATTATTAGGCTCTGTGTGGAGTAAGGAAACTTGCCCAAGGTTTCGCCCTGACCTGCCGGGGATTGAACTCAGGTCTCTCGCTTGCAAAGCGAGTGCTCTAACCACTGAGCTACAGGACTCCACAATGTCACCAAAATGTCTCAACAAGCTTCACTGGATTTATTGTCAAATGTAATAACTATTTGTATGCAAATGTGGCAGCCAATTTTTGTACAGCAATGTCCCACAAACGGCCCTGGTTTCAAAGACCAGCATTGTATTGGAGTGCAGATCTACACCAATAGCTCAAAGAACCAATGCTGGGTTTAAACTCACAACCTTGACTCAGGTGCTGCCTGGCATATGAGATATAAAATTGGTCATTTACTTCATGGCTGTTTGTGGAACATCGCTGGGTGCAAATTTCCCATCACATTAGCTACACTCTACAGAAACTTCAAGAAGCACTTTAAGATGTTATCAATGTTATAAATGCTATATCAATGCAAAAAATATTAGTAAGCAAGCATATCAAGTGAAAATCTGGTAATAGTAATCCTTGCATTTGATATAGCGCTTTTCACGTCTTCTAGACGCCTCAAAGTGCTTCACAGAATAGACTGTAAAATTGATTTGATTGTATATAATTGTGGGCGAAACGCAGCAGCCAATTGCGCACAGCAGTGTCCCACAGTTGTGGATTGAAAATTACCAATTTATCATTGTGTTTTTTTCTTGAGGAATTATTATGTGGAGTAAGGAAACTTGCCCAAGGTTTCACCCTCCGGGAATTGAACCCAGGTCTCTCGCTTGCAAAGCGAGTTCTCTAACCACTGAGCTATAGGACTCCACATAATTACAGGAACTAAACATAATAACCAATACTTCATGCAACTGGTTGAAAGAAACAAGCTATGAAGCAATAGTATAACAAAGCTTTAATATCATACCACTGTTCACACCATACATTTATTCCAACCGTTTGCTACAAAAGGAGTTTGATGCATTTTAGTGACCTGAAATTTTGTTCTAGCTTTATGAACAGAGGAAGAAGAGGTAAATAGACTGGAAGAAAACAGAAACTAATTCAGCTCCAATTTCATCAACTTACAGAAGTGTCAATCTGCATTGGATCTACATCTGCCAGGCTAGCACCTATTTTCATACGATCCTTGTGAATTCCTTTCAAGTCATCTTTCCTCAAATTCAGTGGAAGACATCTAGAAATACAAAATGTAATGAGAAAATAAACACAATAGTGGAATTGCTAAACAAATTAATTTACTTCTGTAAATGTATGTTACAATGTTACAATAAAGTTGTGAAACCAGCGATTGCATGAAATTCCTGAAGTTTTCAGTTAATTGTGAAACCATGAAATCAATGAAATTAGGAGTCAGGAATTTCATGAAAAAGTGATCATTCATCACATTGATAACCTTGCCTTGACACTTGTTAGCATTATCAACAAATAAATAACATTATGAAAATTCATATTTTATTCACCATAAACTTCATGCAACATTTCATTCACTGATGAGTCAAATGTTCATTTCTTCTGAGCGCTTTTACACTGCATATGGCTTGCAACAATGTTCATTTCTTCTGAGCACTTTTACACTTTGTAAAGCCTTGTCCACCACAAACAGACTGTGCAATGACAGCTTCACAATGCTAACAAGTGTCAAGGCAAGGTTATCAATATAATGAAATTATCGCTTTTTCACAAAATACCTGATCCATAATTTCAGTGATTTCATGGTTTCGCAATTTTACTGAAAATTTCAGGGATTTAGTAAAATCCCTGGTTTCCCAACTTTACTGTAACATATATACATCAGAGTAGGTGAATAAGTATCATTGAGAAGAGAAATATTTAGAGCTGCATAGCAAACTTGAGCACCATTATGGTAAGCCACAAGCAGAAAGTAACAATGGCTTGTTTGTCTTATATTGCGGTTGTGAACATAAAATAATTTTCCATACTGAAAGCAAACGATACGAGGGAGGGGTGCCAACATCTCTTATTTATCATGCCCAGGGCCTCCATGTGCTATGTTAAAATCAATCACTTCCTGGAGGTGAATATTACAACAACAAATTACATTTATATAGGGCTTTTCGCTTCAGGAGGACGTCCCAAGGCACTGGAGACATCTTAAAAATCAAAGTATTAAAAACACCTCTTCAAGAGAGGCAGTGGAATATGGTTTCAGCAGGCGACGTACAATTCCATTTGGAGAACAAAGATGACCCTAATAATAGACAATTACTTTTTTTTTAAGTTAAAAAATTAACTCCATAAAAGATTTAGCTATCCTGCAAATCCACAATCAAAACAGCTATTTTGAATTAGCCCAAGATACTCAAGTTACGGTTGTGATCCTTAATCAAATCCAAAAGGGTTCTATCTTCCAGGTTATGATAAGGAACATATTTACCATCATTTAGATAACCTTTGTGCAGAATGGCTTTATTAAAAATCTGCACCACAATAACTGCCAATACTTCAAAATAATTTGGTACAACTTTTAAGAAGTGTTTTTTGAGCATTTTTATTTATTATTTTCGTACATTGAAACCATCACCAAATGTTGCTAAATTTAATTAAATTTCACCCACAAAATACAGTCAATCCACTTAACAGTATATTCTGTGAAGTGCTTTGAGTCATCTCAACCACAAAAGGCGCTATATCAAATGCAAGGATTATTATTGTACGATTGAAACCATAACTGCCAATAGGACAATTTATGCAAAATTGTGTAAAGCTGCAAAGTTTGTGTCATGAACATGAACCAGAAGCCAAAAGGAGCTCCATGGCAACAAATTGAAGAGCTCCTGGTCTGCAGGGAACACATTAGAATTGCTTTCCAACTTCTCTTAAAAAATGAAAGGGATTCTTCTATGAGACAAGCAGATTTGGTGCAGCAAAATCACAATTACACCCAAAGACACAAAAGAACCATGGCTGCAGCCTCAAAAACAGGAGTTGATGGTATGAGAGAACAAACAAAATTGCTGAGACAATGGACAAATATGCACTGATGCAGTTCAGCAGGAGGACCTCAATATTAGTAACAGTCACTGTACAACTAAGGATTCAGACACGACTTTCCAAGTTTACTTTTGCCTCCAATGAACAAATATTCTGCAGACCACAAAGAGGAATAAAAGGTGTACAAAAACAACTACTTTGCAATAATAAGCAGACTTGACTCCATCATACTTAAACAGAAAGGAAGCTGATTTTTTTTTGTTTCTGGGTTACCTACCTACTGACCTCATGCTGACCAATTGAGGTGTGGTAAGAGAATAATGGGTCATATTGTCTACCCCACTTAGGTTTGGACTATCATCATTACCAGCAAGCAGTAATATCCTTGCCAGCGGAGTCAGCTTGAAAGACCACGATTAGAGGCATTCCAGCTAAAAAAAATACATTGCAAAATGCCTTGCAGACCACTGTTGCTGTTATGAAAGGAGATACCACAGTAATAATGTTCAGCCAAAATTTAGCTGCTTTCCCCAAAAAGATTTTGAAGTGAAACAAAATGGTATCCTAGAAGGAAACAACAACTTGCATATATATAGCACCTTTCATGCCAGAATCCCAGGTAAAAGGTGTGTGCACTTAAAGATGTGTTTGGCTAGCTATGGCCTTCAGATGAGGTATTCCATGGAATCCTGTAGCTCAGTGGTTAACACTCGCCTCATAAGTGAGAGACCTGGGTTCGATTCCCGGTAGGGCGAAAGGTTTGGCATGTTTCCTTACTCTACATGCCTCTGTTTACTTAGCAGTAAGTAGGAATCCGGTTGTTAGTTGATTGGCGAATCGCTTTCTGGGGGTAATAATTCCTTTAAAAAAATTGGTCACTTCAATCCATGACCATTTGTGAGACACTGCTGTGCGCAATTGGCTGCCACGTTTCACCTACAAAACATATAGTCGATTTACTTTACAGTATATTCTGTGAAGCGCTTTGAGACATCTCGAAGCTGTGATAATGCGCTATATCAAATGCAAGGATTATATTTATTATTATTATTCTGCAGGAGTTAACAGTTGGAAACAATTCCTAAGTCTAAAAACAGGCAAATCAAATGTCTCAAGGCTGAAAGTACTGCTTTCCTGTCACTGGGCAAAAAGTTCTATCAATTGTCTGAATACATGTTGTGCAATTGTTGCAATCACATTCAGCAAATAACTCGCCTGAAGGGAATCTCAAACATTTTTAAACAATGCTAAAAAGCACGTGCCTTTTGCGGTCCAATGGCTAGTGCACCAGGAATGTTGCCTAAATTGCATCCTTTCAACTCAAATGTTCTGCTTGACTTAGTTGTTTTTGCAGCCTTAGTTTGGGGATCTGTTGGAAACTAAGAATAAAATCACTCACTCCAACTCCCTTTCCAATGGATTGGAAACTCCTCCATGACTCCAAAGCAAGATGATTGCTTACCCCTGTAACTTGAGTGTCACAAGCCAGATCTCCACAAGAAAATAGAAATGCTAATCCCCAAAACAATTCAGGAATTCCTACTTCAAATATACCTTTCAGACACTTATATAAATAAAACTCATTCCCTTTGGATGCAGATGATTACTAATTGTATAACTGCAAAAACTGCAAGATGAAGAGAGTGTCCAATAATTGGGTTCTGTCTATAGAATCTCAGGTTGTGGTAAAAGATGTGTGTGTTTAAAGATGTGCCTGACTCAGCTCTGGCCTTCAGATGAGGTGTTCTTCAGGAGTTCCCTACCAACAGTAGCAAAGCATTCCTTCAGGAGTACCAGAGTTGATTGGATCACAGAAATGAAATGAAGATCATTTACGTAAGTAAATTTTCATCTGTATGCGTTATTGCAGGCTTTTCTTAAACAAGTGTTCATTTTAGCTATGACCTAGGTATGTAGCTTATGATCAACAGTCTCTACAGTCATTACACTTTACAGTAAATCCTGTGAAGCAATTTGAGTTGTCCTCCTGATATGAAAGGTGGTATATCAAATACAAGGATTATTATTTTAATTATTACCACCAGCAAAGAACCTCATGTTATTCTATTCTACTCAGACAACTCATGCAATGGATTTCCTGATCACAATAATCCTTGCATTTTTGATATAGCACCTTAACCCGTCTTTGAGATGTCTCAAAACGCTTTGCACGATACACTATAAAGTGAATTGACTTTAATGATTATTCATACAATAAATGTACTAACGCTATTTTGTATTTTATGGAGGCAATGGTCATCATGATAGGGAAAAAAAACCCTGAAGGCTCCACCCCAAGACGATGATTCTTATTTCGCAATGCAAGATAGACTGCCACGGCCAATATTCCAAATTCAAGAAGTTCTAAAGGATATCAGCCACATTGATTTTTCCTGTTGATGAATGGATTCACTCCTACAGTTAAGTACCATACATATAATAAATAATAATTCTTGCATTTGATATAGTGCATTATCACGTGTTCAAGACGTCTCGGACAGAATATATTGTAAAGTGAATTGACTACATATTTTGTGGGCGAAATGCAGCAGCCAATTGCACACAAGCAATGTCCCACAAACAGTCATGGATTGAGTGACCAANTTTTTTTTGAAGGAATAAATATCCCCCCAGTTATTGAAACACTTTCCACCCAAGGAAATATATGGCCTTTTAAGTGTTAACTCCACATCATCAAGCGCTGACATTCCCAAACAAGACAACTATATCAATCAGTTTCGTTTGAACTTTGTTTACTCCCTCCCCATCATTTTTCTGTTATTCAAAACTGTTTTCTCTCTGATCATGTCTCGTGATAGATACCCTATTAACACACACACAAAAACAAACACCTTACCAGGACTCTTGAAGTGATTGCCTTTTTCCAACTCTATGTACTCATTACAAAGAAACCTACAAGATTTTACTCATCATAGATTTTCTTAACAGACAATAAAAATCAGTCACTGTATATTGAACTACTTCAGCCCGCCAGCTTCTAAATCAATTCTTCCACCATCACTGCTCGCTCCTCGAGTTGAAGAGATATTCAGCTTCCCGATAGCACAGGGAATGATTTACATTCAAACAGCCCAAAGCCCTACAGTTGTGATGCCACAGTCTTTATAAAAGAACCAAATGACATCACAAAGTCCAACATCTTCCCCTCAGTTCCAACTCGATTTAAATGATGACCCTAAAAAAGTTCCACCGCAAAACGCTCATACAAACGGCACAGAGTTTCACTTACGTATTAATAACACTCGCGAATAAACATCAGCAGAAATAAAAACCGTACTTCTGCGGGTCTGATGTCACAATGGCATTGACATCACAAATAAGTTCAACTCCTTTCCTGACAGAACGACTAAAAGAGCAATTACAACTTTTGATGGAAACGCATACGTTACCAACAACAAATTACACTTATATAGTGTTTTTTTTTCATGTCGGGAGGATGTCCCAAGGCTCTGGTAAAATAAAAGATTTTGCAATCACTTGAACGCATCTGATGCAGTATGAAGCTATACATACCATGCAGGTTTGTGTCATCTGTGCATAATCAGACAATCTACCAGGCCAGTAGTGGGGTTGCTATATTTGGTGTAAAAATCCCAATACTGTACTATATCGAGGGAGAAAAGGGAAAATGCAGGACTTCCACCAATGGTCAATCTCCCAGTCACTTATGTGAAATGCTTTGAGACTCCTCATATGAAAGGCACAAGGTAACTTATTGATCACTATGTAGCAACCGTTGCTGGAAGAATGCACCAACATTAATTTCTGCTACATCACCTGCTTCCGTCCTTATCTCACATTCAAAGCTGCAAAAACTCTCACTTAAAGTCACAATCACACTCTACTTTCCAAATGGCATCCTTGTGGGCTTCCTACTCAAAACTCACCACCCATATTCTTACCTGCATGAGGCTTCACACGCCCATCATCCTCATCATCGCTCCACATCTCCCAGCAGAGAGACTAAGATCCTCACCCACAAATTCATTCACAACCTCACACCTCCATACGCTCTTCAAACTTCTCCAGTTCCACTCTTTTGCTACATTCTTTCCTCCTCACCCAACCAGGGTGTTTGCCACCATCCCTGTAAAGCTTGGTACTCTGTCAGGGATGGCCAACTTGTGGGGCCTGCTCTACGTGCCAGGAGATAAAAATTCAATTTGTTTCCAGACAACTACAAAACAACTTTCAAAATACTAGTACATTTTCCATCATGGCACTTTAAAACTTTAAAAACACATTCATGCTATGTCAGTTTACAGTGCTTCACCTATATCATAAACAACATTTACCTCAATAATGATCGGTTCCTACTTTTATTCCTTCGTCTCTCAAAGCGTTCCTCATCATCAGAAGATGACGAGGCAGAGGAGGAGGAGGAGGAGGAAGAAGTGGAATCACTGCTATGTATGGCATGTCTCCGTCTGTAACAAGAAAATAAATGATCAATTAGATGAGATTTTTTACACCACACTCTTTATACTTCAATATCTTTCATCTTCTATTGATCAAACTAAAATTTCAACTTTTTAAAAAATATTGTGGCCAAGTCTGAGCATCAAAATTTCCAAACAGATTATAGTGCATATAATGTTAAAACAGGAGGTAAGCGGGGTCTCCTTGGAGTTGAACTGGCTCCAAGGTACAAGCCTGGCAATGGAATTGAGCCAGTCATCTGTGGCGGTCTTTTCTTGCCTGGAAATCTGAATTTGGTTTGGATACACTCAAGAATGGTGAAGGATTTCCGCTTGTGTCAAGACACCTGGCTGACCAAAAAAGGTTTCACAGTACTTCACTGGGAATTACTAGAACATTTATAGGTGAATATGGTAACTGATTTGCACATAGCAATGTCCTAAAAACATCCATAAAGCAAATGATCAATTTTATCGAGATGTTTATCAGCTTGGAAAAACTCATTTTGAAACAAGCATCAAGGGATCTTCAACATCCATCTGAACAGTCGGACAGGAGTTCAATGTCTCAATTGAAGGACAGCATCGCTGACAATGAAGATCTCTTTTAGTATTACAATAGAGAGTCAGCCTAAATTATGAAGTCAAACATAGGGCTTGAAAAACAACCTTCTGCCCCAGGCAGCTCTGCTACAACTGTGTCAAGCTGACATGGGATAATTATAAAATTAGCCTTTTCCCATCTTATAATAGTGTATGATAGCCCTGTTTCTATCAAAGGCTATTTATTATACATAGTCACAATTTAACAATTGACTAGTCTGTTAACTATCAGATTCCACAATCTAGTATTCCAAACCTATTAATTTTTCTCTTGCAGTAAGGACTGCGAGGACCAGAGGTGCCATAATGAAATCTCCGTCTTACTGGAGAAGCAGGAACACTGTAAAACATTCTTCGTTTTCTTTGAGGTTCTGGCATAAAACATAAAACAATTTTATAAGTCACTTCAAGAAACAGAATAGAGCCTTGTGCACATAACATTTTTCCCCAAACTTAAGAGATATCAATTCAGAAAATCATGCATATCTCTGAGTGGCAAACACCTTACAAGACTTAGTGTTTACTGAAGTTAGTACATAAAAGATTATCTGTACTGAAAACATAAAGAGTTAGAAATATTTTCATTGGGTTAGTATGAGATATTAAATGTCACAAATCAATTCAGCTTTTGAACCAAAGTAACCAGTGAATTCAAATTCTCCCCTCAATGAATTTACACTGGCAGATCACTAAGGATTAATTTACTTTAGACCTCTTTGTTTACACACTGTGATGCAGTTTTAAGAGAAAAATATTTCTAAATTCCTCAAAATGTTTTTAAAAACAAGTGTTTTTATTATGCAGTTTAGTTCAGTTCCCCTCTCGATCCATCTTCAAGCTCTATGGGGGGGGGGGGGGGGGAGAGAGGAGAGAGCAGGAAAATCAGAGGAAGATTCATTTAAGACCTTGAGTCACTTACACTCAAGATGAGCAAAGCCTGAGTAGAGTAAGCAGAATTCAGAGGAGAAAGGGAAGGAGAGGGAAATTAAAAAGGTAGAAACATAACTGTGCTATACCACATCACATCAAATGCATTCAAGCGCTTTGGGACATACTCCTGATGTCAAACGTGCTATAAAAGTGTAAGCTGTACTGTATTTGTACCTTCGCATGGTGCCTGATATTGCACAACAGCTTTCCTCTGACGCAAGTAGTAACGTTTTTGAGTATCTTCCTCACCATCTTCATCCTCCTCCTCCTCTCTATCTTCAGCTTCTTCCTCAGATGACTCTATAAAGGAACAGGAAATAATGTCTATGTAGTAAATGAAAGCTCATTCAACAATAACTGAGCTGCTTGGTTGACCCCAACACTACTCTATCAGGCTACAAGTCAACTGGGAGAGGTCTAATCTCATCTCTCTTAGATGGGAGTTTCCAGAAAGAATGGCAAAGCATCTCCCATTTAAAATTAAAAATATATTTATGTTTAGTTTCTGTACAAGTGTGATTACAGGATTGTTTTCAATTTTCTCTCTGCTCTCACTAACTTATTGCAATTTTAAATTCTGTATGCCTAAAAAAGAGTTGAAGTGAGTTGGAAGGCCATATTCATTATGTTCACAGAACAGCAATAATATTTGTTTTGATCAACTGGGTAACGTGTAAAAACCCATCACCATGCTTAAGAGTATCCAAACCAGACTGAGAGAAACCAAATCGGCAATAATATAGGTGAATAAAGTTGGCCCAATTACAATTTCAGGACAATTCACATAAATCCAAGTGTTTTAACCAAGCGAATATACAAAATACATTGTTTATAATTGCTTGGATGTTTTATTTTTTCTCTTTAGTCTCAGAGCACAAGGAACCTTCTAACACTGTTGACAGATGTTATTAGATTCGATAAATTCCCCAAATTGTTACCAGAATGGCAGTTAAAAGGGATACATTTCAATGTAATCAGTAGGTAGAATCATTTTGATTAGAAATTCAAAATAGGAAGGTATGTAAAACATTGGTTCGGGTTTTTTTTAAAAAAAGATAAAGTAATAATATTTGGTAATAATGAGATTTCCATTTGGATAAGATTGGAAGAGGAATAGCAAATAGAAAAGATAGGTGGTAAGGAAACATCTTGCAAATAGTGATCATTTTCTGAAAGAACTAAATATTAGGTTTCAAGGACTGAAAAAATGATCACAAACAAAAGTTTGGAATTTTAATAAAGCCAATTTTGAAAGGTTAAGGAAGGAATTAGCCACAGAAGGTGATAGGAATTGGTAGTGAATCAACTGATAAAACTATGGAAACTGTTCAATGAAGTAATTAAAACATACCAAAACCTGTATATACTGCTAAAATGCAAATGGTGTACTCCTGGCATCAAGCAACCATGGTCAAATAAATTTATTACCAGTATCAAACAAAAGAAAAAGGTCGATGAAATGACAAGGCAACAGTGGCAAAACCGGAGACGGTGGAATATAGAGAGCAAAAGAAAATAACACAAAAGGCTAAGAGGAAATATCAAAAAAATTGCAGATGGCAACAAAGCATTTTATAAATGCATCAAAAGAAGAGAATGATAAAGGAGGAGGAGAGTTCACTGAAGTTAAAGATGTGACAATAGTGGAAGTTAAGGACATGACAAATTTGTTGAAAGCATCCTTTGCTTCAGTCTTCACATGGGAGGAGAATAAAGAACCAGAGGTTTAGGGAAGAATAGGGTTTAAAGGGCATGTTAATTATTATAATATTTGGATTTGATATGGCACCTGACCACTTAGTGGATATGCCTCAAAGACTTTCTCAAAAGTGCAGTGAAGCATAGTAGCTTTGTATTTGTAGCCAAACGCAGCAACCAGTTTGTGCAACAACTTCTTTACATCGAAAGGGTAGAAGGGACCCAGGCAGGTTTAGAGTTTAATATCCATGATGGGCAAAATCCACCTTTGGGAATGAAGTATCTGTGTATCAGGACATTCACCATCAAGACCTCATCAGGACAAATATGCACAGATCAAGGAGAGGCAATATGGGTTTATGGAAGTAGATCATTTCTGATTGGTTCTTTCAAAGAACCAGAGCTGATAAAACTGTATTGATGGATGTAATTTAAGGTTTTTCATAAGTATTAGATAAAGTGCATCCTTTGTCTGATGTGAACATACATTATAATTCATGAAAGGGCACAAATCTGACTGCAGATTTATCCTTAGGATATTGTAATAAGGGTTGGTCATACAGGAGAAGGAATAAAAGGGTAGGAAAAAGAGGGGTAGATACATCAGGATTTCTATGTGTTAAAAAGTAAATTCTGATACCTACCAGCACTCCCATCTTCATGATCTTCAGTGGTTTCTTCATCGATCGTCTCTACTGCCCTCTTTTTCACACAAGAATACATATCTAGATTTCCCTTTAATTAAAAAAAATTGTACATTGAATTTTATGAAAAAAATATTATTCTCCTGCCTTTCCCACATGGAAGTGATCAAACTCTTCCTGAAAACTTCGAATTAACCACCACACAAACCCACATCATAATCTTTGTCTGATATAGCACACTGGAACAGCACATTCCCAAAATGCCACCTTCCAAACAGGATAAAGGGTGAAATCAACTCACACAATTTTCACCGAGTCAACAGGTGCTAAAAATCAAACCAGTTCAGGGCCAAGTTATAAGAACGCATTTATTACTGAATTTCCCCACCAAATAACCAATATTATTATTTTATTAATTTGGTCATCCAACCAGACATTCATCTGGAGTTGACAAAAACTAAAGTAACTAGATAAAAGTAAGTGGTAGACTTACTTCTTCCTCTTCTTCTTCCTCTTCTTCTTCCTCTTCAGTATCATTTAAAATTCTTAAATTCTCTAACTCTCTCATTCTCTGGCGTCGTAGTTTCTTCATATGATCCATTTTCTGCAAAACCGCTTCTGCAGTGCTGCAAAAAAATATTTTCAAATGAAATGCGGGGTTAGGGGAAAAGGTAATGTAAGCAATATTTCAGCAGCAAATCAAATTCAGACAATATATTTTAAGTGTTGAAATATAAAGTGTAGAAAAGGAGTTCTGATCTCTTACTTTGTAATTAGTTTGTCAAAAGCACAGATTGGTTTAGTGTGTTATAACGGTTTCTTCGGAGTCTGCAACTACGCCTGACTTCCGTATCAGCTCCTTCTCCATGCACTGTTTCATCTACTTCGATTTCAGATCTACTACTCCTAAGAGATCTGGTAATTGAATTCATATTCGTGTTCTCTGAAGAAGATAATGTAATTGCATAAAATAATGTACATAAGCACTATAGTCAGATTTGATATCACTTGAAAGGTCACTGAATTACGAATTTGGAATATAAAAAATTACGCAAGTAGTAACTTTACCTGGTTTATCATTAGGCTTGTTGCTGGTTTTTAGTCGGAGTGATTGCCTGCATAAAGACAAAAACGCGTTTAATTTTTTTTAAAATAGCCACTAATGAGCCCACAATAGAACCATGCAAATGTACAACACAGGAGCTGATTCAGTCCACTGTGTTGTGCTGGCTCTCTGGGAATAAACGCAAAGCTCTTTCAATCCCCTGCCTTTTCCCCTTTTGACTTATTTAGCCAATTCACTCTTAAAAACATAAATTTGTTGTATTTTTACAAGATCAGTTTTCAACATTTATTTAAAATACAGTGACACTGAAGAGACACACTCCACTATTAAACGTTTTCACAGACAGTGGTCAGTGTGTAGAATTCTCTGCCATCATCAACTGTTGGAGCAACAACCATGTGAACATTCCATAAAAGAGACTGGACACATGGTTGAATGAGAATAAAATTGAGGGATGAGGGGAAAAGGCCCGAATATGAGACTCAGGATAGATGCACGATGGGCACACATCTAGATTATAAACAACGCCCCCAGACTGGATGGAACAAAAAGCTCCTTTCTGAGCTGTACATTCGATGAATCTAAATTTAAATAATGCTTTTCATGTTGGGAGGACATCTCAATTATATGCACGTTAGCAAGAGCTGAGACCTGGGGATTCCAGAACCCGGGTTTAGGGATACTGCTGGGAGTTTATCCAGCTAAAAATTGCATAGTTTGCCACTGAGAGTCTTTCATCCAAGGCTGCACTCTCCAACCCCTCAAAGCCGGTCAGGAACCTCGGTGTTCTGTTCGACCCTGAGCTGTCCTTTCTCCCTCATATCCGCACCACAACTGGCACCGCCTTCCACCATCTCCGGAATGTCGCCAGACTACGGCACTACCTCACCCCTCACGCTGCTGAAACCCTGGTCCACGCCTTTGTCACCTCAAGGCTGGACTATGGGAACTCTCTCCTCGCCGGCCTTCCCGCCACCTCCCTCCACAAGCTGCAGGTCATTCAGAACTCTGCAGCTCGTGTACTGTCCCGCACCAGGCTTCGGGATCACATCACTCCCACCCTCGCTCGCCTCCACTGGCTCCCCATCCCCCAGAGGATCGAATTCAAGATCCTCACCTACAAGGCCATTCACGGCCTTGCTCCCTCCTACCTCTACGACCTACTATCCCCCTACCTACCTGCCCGTACCCTCCGTTCCTCTGGCTCCAGTCTGCTCCACATCCCCCGCCCCAACCGCCCTACCATCGGTGGTCGGGCCTTCAGCCTCTCAGCCCCGAGGCTCTGGAACTCTATCCCCCAGTGCCTTCGCCGCCTCCTCCCTTTCCTCCTTCAAGGCCGGTCTCAAGACATTTCTCTTTGACCGTGCCTTCAGCTCCCCTCTCGACTCTCTACCCCCTCCTCGCTCCCTCCCATCCCTCCCCTCATCCTGACCATTTCCCCCCTCCTCGCTCCCTCCCTTCCCTCCCCTCACCCTTACCATTTCCCCCCAATGCTCGGGTCCTGACCCAACTGTACGGTGCCTTGGGACGTCCTCCCGACGTGAAAGGCGCTCAATAAATGGAATCTTGTTGTTGTTGTAGGGCAAGCTTTCTGCTGCCTGTTCAGCTAGGACCACCTTACCCAGAAATAAGAAGCAAATGGAAGTGGAATGCTTAAACGTTCTGGTGGAAATCAAACTAGATAGTTCAGTCTGCCTGACATTCAGCTGCAGAAAGTTAAAGGCTCATCCAGATGATTTGGGAAAAGGAGTTGACAATGGAGGCAGGGTTGGGTATATAATGACCACACATAGCCTCTGGAACTTCCTCCCATCATCTCTTTCTGCTTTTGCCCCGAGTGCGCTTATGGCCACCTCCCCCTCTCCTTTGCTCAGTGTCCAACCTCCATTATTGTAACACACTTGAAACTTTACCCTAGGTTAAGGGTGCTATATAAATGCAAGTTATTGTGTGTGTGTGTGTGTGTGTATATATATATATATGGAAACTAAGACCTTGTCTTACACACAATGAGAAAAAGAGGGAACATGAAAATAGATTTGTAAAGAAACTGTAATAAAGAAAAGGAAAAATTTAAAAGAACAAAACAAGCCAACAGAACTAGATCAAGATAAGTTTCAAATGGGCAGGAAGATATATTCTTGTTACAATCTAAAGAGGAAAAAATGTATGATAACCCCCCATTCAGAATTTACAATAAGTGTGATACCAGCTTCTGAGGATAACAAATTATACTGTAATGCAACTTGCAATACAAGTTATAAGAACATACCGGTTCAAAACTTAGATGTAGATCCCAGCAAACACATACATCAACACTGCAGTTGTAAAGAAGACTTATACAACTAATCCTCAATAGCTTGCAATAGTTGACGTAGTTTGTCTACCTGGTAAAATGTCTTCCTTCCATCCCATCTTCTGTTGTCTCTTCTATGCTCTTTTCATTGTAGCTTGAATCCAAAGAGGTGTCAACTTGTCTCTCCATACTCTTCCTCCTCCTACTCATATTACCACCGATACTTTGTATACTCTGTAATAAAACATTAAAATTATTTATTTCCATAGCACTTATCCAAATGTGACAAACTCAAGGATTCTCTGAAGTCATCAGTTGTAAAGCAGTCAATTATTTTCCCTACAAAACTGGGGTGGTTGGAAATTAACTATACAGTGGAGAGTTGGATGTTTGTGTCCCATATGGCCCACTAATATTGGTGGGAAAAGATCTATGCCATACAGTACTGAGAAGGGCTCAGTGTAGGCAAGGCACTTCATTAAGGTAAAGGGATGGTTGCACTTATTTAGCAACCTCCACGCAGGGTGGCGACTCACAGCACTTAACAGAGGCGGAAACTGACTCCGACCCGGGGTGGGTGGCTATAAGCACAGTTAAACAGGAAAGTTTTTAGGCGGGACTTTAAAGAGGGGAGAGAGGGGGCAAGGTAGAGGGATTGAGGGAGAGTGTTCCAGAGCTTTGGGGTGTAGTGGTTGAAAGCGTGACCTCCAATGGTGGAGCGGAGGGTGCGAGGGACGAGCAAGAAACTGATGTCAGTCAAGTGGAGGGGTCGGGGATTGGGGAGCTAGGAGATCGGAGAGGTAGGGAGGTGCCAAGAAGTGAATGGATTTGAACACGAGTGTGAGGATCTTGAAGTCGATCTGTTTGGTGATGGGGAGCCAGTGGAGTCTGGCCAGAACTGGTGAGATGTGGGTATGGAGTTAAGTCCGCATCAGTATGCGGGCAGCAGAGTTTTGAAATTAACTGGTTCTTGTGAATGGTAGAGCTGGGGAGACCGGCGAGAAATGTGTTGGGAGTAATCCAGCGGGAGGTGACAAACGCACGCATAAGGGTTTTGGCTGAATTTGGGGTAAGGTACGGTCGGAGGCGGGCAATGTGGCGCAGGTGGAAGAAAGCGGACCTGGTCAGGGACCAGATGTGGGGGAGGAAGGACAGTTGAGGGTCAAACCGAACTCCTAGGTTGCGCACTGGTTCTGTGAGTCTGAGGGAGAGCCCAGGGAAGTTGAGGATTTCAGATCCGCAGGAGTGAAGATGTTGACGGGAGCCAAGGAGTACATCTTCCATCTTATCCATATTCAGCTGCAGGAAGTTTGCGCTCATCCAGGCCCTGGTTTCTGCCAGACACGCTGATAGAACATCGGTGGACCTGGAGTTGGTACTGCAAAGTAGATTTGTGTATCATCCACATACATGTGGAAGTTTACCCTGTGTCTGCAGATGACATCGCCCAGAGGGAGCATATAGATAAAGAAAAAAAGGGGGCCAAAGATGGAGCCCTGGCGTACCCCGCAGGTAATCAGGTGGGGGCGGGAGGAGAAACCATTTGCTGAGATGAAATGGAGGCAGTTGCATTGCGAGAGCAGTCTCACTGAGGTAGATGAGGGAGGAGAGCTGATGGAGGATGGCGTGGTCGACTGCCGATTGTGGCAGTTCAATTATCACCACTAACAGATCCAGGAAACATTATCCTTTTAACTTCTGGATGCAAATCCACATCAAAAGTGGACTCACCTGTTGCTTGTTTAGAGAATGTTGGCAGGCTTGAATATCTAATCTAGAACAAAATGGTAATCCAGTTCTGACATGTTTAATGTTAACCAAACATCAAGCTGGGCCTCTCAAGATAAAACTTTGTGTCAGCTTGGGTCAGTGGTAACACTCTCACTTCTGAGTTTGAGATTGTGGGTTCAAGTCCCATATCAGGACTTGAACTCAAGAGTTTAAGATGACACTCCAATGCAGTGCAGGGGATTTGTTGCATTGTCAAAGGTTCTGTCCTTCAGATTAAACATTAAATCGAGATCCCGTCTGCCTTTTCAGGTGGACTAAACTCTGTACCTCCACAACAACAACTTACACTTAAATAGCGCTCTCCATGCAGGGTAGCATCTCACAGTGCTTAACAATGGCGGAGCCTGATTCCGAGCTGGGGGTGGAGGTGACTGTGAACACGGTCAAAAAGGAAGGTTTTAAGGAGGGACTTGAAAAAGGGGATAGAGGGGCAAAGCGGAGGGATTGAGGGAGAATGCCCCAAAGTTTCAGGGCGCAGTGGCTGAAAGCGCAACCTTCTACGGTGGAACGGAGGGCGCGAGGGACAAGTAGGAGGCTGGTGCCAGTTGGGCGGAGGCGCCGAGTGGTGGATTGGGAGTCTGTGACATTATCCCAGTCCTTGTCAAACTCCACTGGCTCCCTGTCACAGAGCGGATAGACTTCAAGATCCTCAGTCTTGTATTTAAATACCTTTGAGCCCTGGCATCCCCTTATCTCTCCAACCTGCTTTCTCCCTACACCACTACCGGCTGCCTCTGGCTTCCTCCTTGTCCTCCGGACCCTCTACCCCACCATCAGCATCTGCGCTTTCAGCCACTACTCCGCCCACTTTTCAGTTCGCACTTCAAGACCTTCCTCTTCGACTGTGCCTATGGTGACCTTCTCCCACCCCCTGGCTCGGCATCAGGCTCCACCACTGAGACTCCGTCCGGCATGAAGTTCACTATATAAATGCAATCCCATGACACTATTCAGAGAGTTTTCCCCAGTATTCCGGCCAACAATCCCCAAAATAAAATTGGCTATTCACTTTATGGCTGTTTGTGGGACATTGCTATGTGCTGTCGCGTTTGCCAAAATATGCACAGCGACTCCATTTCGCAGTAACTCCTGTAAAGAGCTTCCGACGTGATAAGGCACTATACTAAATGCAAGGATTATTAGATTATTTACTTTGAAGCACTATGCGAGGTTTGACCTGATAAGGCACTATAGCAAATGCAAAGATTATTTACATATAACCATATTTCACTTTTGATAAAGACATGTGAACTGATATTATATTTCTCAATAATTACTATAATTTGTAGTGTGTGTACTTCTAGGCAAACACAGCAGCCCTATGCACTAACAATGTTCCAGAAAAAGTATGACAATTCATTTGCAAGATTACTATTTAGGACTATCTTAAATTCAGTATATTGCGGGTTTAAATACGATGTCCAAACAAGGTGGACCCGTGTTATACCAGAAGTGAGTGAGTGTGTCCAGTTTTCTGCTCAGAACTTCCCAGGCGCAGGGAAACTCCACAGTAATCCCAAAAGTAATCACAAGGCAGAACAGTCAACGGCTGTCCTGCTTCTTACACTGGGCCAGTGGTGCTTGCAGCAATCCTGAAAGTGATTGCGAGGAAGAGCCATCATCTGTGTGTCCGGGTTGCTGACTTGGTGCAGTGGGGATTCACAATGTCAACCCCAGAATTAATTACAAGTTCCCACAATACAACAACACTCCATTTATGAGGTTTCATTTTCTGGATCCCAACTACCACATTATAACAGCATCGCATTCATCAGTCATGAGGATCACAGCTACTCCCATCACAGCTCCATATGATTAAAGGGAATGAAAGGTCTGGGATTTTTTTAAAAAAAAATATTTGCGCACTGGAAATAAGTCATATTTTTTTTAATAAAAAAAGTCTCAGCTAACCAACGCTTCCCTGGGATTGTTGAGAACCACCACCACCACCCTCCTTCTTCTTCTCAACCAGGAAAAAACTTCATGTAACTCAATTTAACGTAATGGGTGGAGATTCAGAGCCACCCAACCATTCACAGCACTCTCACGTGATACCAATGATACCAGTCCTTCCCCACCCCCTCCTGCTCTCAGTCATTGGGGCATCTCCTTTTGCAGTGAAAGTTGGGAGCATAGCTGTAGACTGTTATAACAATCCTCGCATTTGATATAGTGCTTTTCACGTCGGGAGGACATCCCAAAGCGCTTCACAGAACAAACTGTAAAGTGAATTGACTGTATATTTGTGGGCGAACGCGGCAGCCAATTGCGCACAGCAATGTCCCACAAACAGTCGTAGATTAAAAATGACCAATTTATTATTGGTTTTGGTTTTGGAGGGATTATTATTAGGCGCTGTGTTAGGGAGGGAATTTTCTGCATTTCTTATGTCAGAAAAGCTGAACTCATCTCATTTCTGAAACACGAAAGTGAACGAAAGCTCACTCGAAGTTTCAAGAACTTTTACTATTTATTAAGGTGAAATAGTGAAGGAGACTCATCACAACTCCTCACCCCCCCCCCCCCAAAAAAAAAACCCCAGTGCTCTTAGCCTTGGGAGCAGAAAGTGAACCCACAACACCTCTCTTTCTCCCCTTCCCTCCCCCATCACCCCCAACCCCTCCCTCCCTCCCTCCCTCTCTCTCTCTGCCTCCCCTCCTCGAGCCTTCCCTTCCTGTCCTCCCGACAACGAAGGGCGCTGTACAAGTGTAAATAATTGCTGTTGGGAGAAAAAGCTGCGGCCCGGCCCTCGGGCCCGGCTCTGCCGCCGTTACTCACTCTCTCCTGTCGGCTTCTCTTGCCGCACGGGGTGGGGCCGCCGCTCTTGGGCAGGGAGATGAATTCCGAGCTGCAGTCCAAGCGGACAGACCCGCTCCTCAGCATCACCATCTCCCCAGGTCTCGGCCCGGCTTCGGTTCAGCTCCAGCCACTCATTTGCCGCCGGGGTGGGGGGGGGGGGGGGTGCTACCAGGTCGAGGACGGGTCCCTCGCGGTGAGGTACTGGCTGGTCAGTCCCGCCCGGGGCCTTGCCTTGCGCTCGCTGTCGTGTCGCCCGGGAGTGGGGGGGTCGGGGGGGGGTCGGGGCGGCCGTTAGCTGTCGTCGGCCGCCGTCTCCCGGGAGCCCGCGCGCGGCCGCCGCCGTTTAGAATCTTCAGTTCAAAATGGACCAACGGCAAAACGCTCCGGCGCCACGAGGTTTCCCACGCTCGGCTCAGCGCTCACTGTCTCCCTCCGCGGGTCAGAGAAAAACAACAATTCGCCGGATCTCTTTCTCTCCCCCCCCCACTCCCCTCTGTCCTGTTCTCAGCCGCACTATTTTTTCGCAGATGTATCCATTAAAAAGATACGTTTCCAACCCCCTAAAGCGGGTGTGTGTGTGTAATGTATACACTGTGAAGGGGGGGGGTGTGGGGGGTTTGTCGGGAGAACGCCAACCGAGTCGCCAGCAGTCGGCCAATCAGGATGCGGCGCCGGGGTTCTGGATGAGGTCACGGGCAGTGGGCGGGGCTGTGGTTGGCGGGAAGGACAGGGCCGCGGGGAGTTAAACACAACACACTGCAGATGCTGCAAATCTGACAGCAATGACCAGAAGTCGCCGGGAACCCTCAGCGGGTCAGGCAGCACCTACCGGAGACAGGAAAGCGAGTCAACGTTTCGGGTCCACGACCCCGACGAAATGTTGACTCGCTTTCTTTTCTCCCATAGATGCTCCTTGACCCGCTGAGGGTTCCCAGCGACTTCTGGCCCTGGAGAGCGAGAGGGCTCGCATCCCCTTCCTTCCCACACCCTCAAGGTATCCCTGTGTCCCGGCTAAATTAGTTAGTAGAAAAATATACAGAGAACCTATCGCCCTAATTATATTATACCATGCTTAATAGTATCCAAACCACAGAGGCTGGTGCAGGAGAGGGCAACAAGATTGCATTTATGGAGCGCCTTTCACGTAGGGAGGACATCCCAAGGCGATGGACAGTTGGGTCAGGACCCGAGCAGGGGGGAAATGGTCAGGGTGAGGGAAGGGAGGGAGCGAGGAGGAGGTAGAGAGTCGAGAGGGGAGCTGAAGGCACGGTCAAAGAGAAAGGTCTTGAGACCGGCCTTGAAGGAGGAAAGGGAGGAGGCGGCGAAGGCACTGGGGGATAGAGTTCCAGAGCCTCGGGGCTGAGAGGCTGAAGGCCCGGCCACCGATGGTAGGGCGGTTGGGGCGGGGGATGTGGAGCAGACCGGAGCCAGAGGAACGGAGGGTACGGGCAGGGATAGTAGGTCGGAGAGGTAGGAGGGAGCGAGGCCATGAATGGCTTTGTAGGTGAGGATGAGGATCTTGAATTCGATCCTCTGGGGGATGGGGAGCCAGTGGAGGCGAGCGAGGGTGGGAGTGATGTGGTCCCGAAGCCTGGTGCGGGACAGTACACGAGCTGCAGAGTTCTGAATGACCTGCAGCTTGTGGAGGGAGGTGCCGGGAAGGCCGGCGAGGAGAGAGTTCCCATAGTCCAGCCTTGAGGTGATAAAGGCGTGGACCAGGGTTTCAGCAGCGGAGATGGTGGAAGGCGGTGCCAGTTGTGCGGATATGAGGAAGAAAGGACAGCTCAGGGTCGAACAGAACGCCGAGGTTCCTGACTGGCTTTGAGAGGTGGAGAGTGCAGCCTTGGATGCTGATGGTGTCGGCGCCTGAGGTGCGGAGGCGCTGACGTGAGCCAATCAGGAGGACCTCGGTTTTTCGCACGTTGAGCTGAAGAAAGTTGTCTCTCGTCCAGGACTCGATGTCAGACAGACAGGCTGTCAGGACATCGGTGGTCGTGGAGTTGAGGGTAGAGGAGGAAAGGTAGAGTTGGGTGTCATCCGCATACATGTGGAAGTTAACAAGTGCAAGATTTTTTTTAAATATTACTTTAGGTCAACGGTCAATTCGCTTTGCAGTATATTCTTTGAGGCGCCTCAAGACGTGATCAAGCGCGAGGTCAAGTGCAAGGATTATTATTATCATCCAAACGCTTTTTTTTTATATTTTCCTTTTTTTAAAAAAAAAGCACAAGTCGCTCGGGCTTTCCCCGCTCTGCGGCGGGTGCTGGCCGGTCAGCTGGGGATTGGCCCCGGATGAGAGGGAGGACCGTGAACTCGAGCCGTTTTAAAGTGAAAAACAGGCAGCTGGAAAAGTGACACCAACCGCACCTGCTGCCCTTTTTGTCGTTGTTGCTGCTGCTGCTGTTGTCGTTGTTGTGGTCGTTGTTGTTGCTGCTGTTGTCGTTGTTGTCGTCGTTGTTGTTGTTGTTGATGCTGCTGTTGTTGTTGCTGCTGTTGTTGTTGTTGCTGCTGCTGCTGCTGTTGTTGTTGCTGCTGTTGTTGTTGTTGCTGCTGCTGCTGTTGTTGTTGTTGCTGCTGTTGTCGTTGTCGCTGCTGTTGTTGCTGCTGTTGTCGTTGTTGTTGTCGCTACTGCTGTTGTTGCTGTTGCACTCTCAACCTTCTGCCCCGCCCCTCACCCCCCCTCCATTGTGACGTCACCGGGTCCCGCTGCCGCTGATTCCCGCGAGGTGGGTGGGGTGAGGTGGGTGAGGTGGGGGGGGAATATTCATGCGGTGACACACACACACACACACACCCACGGGTGCAACCGTCCTGCTGCTCCCCCTCTCTCCTTTCCCTTTCGACGGGTTCCCACCGCGGTCCCGCCTGGACCGGGGCAGCTCCCGGCCGCCGCTTCTTGGCTTTCCTTTTCGAAAATTTTTTTTTTCCCTTTTCTTCTTCCTGTGAACAAGTTTCCCGTCGAGAGGGAATTTGAATTTTCTTTTTTTTTTCTTCTTCCTTTTCTGGTTTACCATGAGCGCGTCAACCGTCGCCGGGGGCCGTCAGTCAGCTCTGGTGAGGGGGGACTGCGCCTACACCCGCTGCTATTGGTAAGGGAGTGGCTGCTGATGTTGTTGTTGTTGTTGTTGTTGGGGGGGGAAAGGCTCAAACATCTAAGTCAATGCGGTTTTTTTTTTCTAATGGGGTTCGGCCACACCATCGATCAAAAAAAAACGATTACCCGGCACCGGCCGCGCACTGCCAAACCGCCACCAGAGAATCGCGGAATCGTGCAGCACAGAAGGAGGCCATTCGGCCCATCGGGTCCGTGCCGGCTCTTTGAAAAGAGCTGTTCCGATTCAGTCCCACTTCCCCGCGCCGCCGCCGCCGCGCTCTCCTCGTAGACCTGCAAACTTGTCCTTCCCAACGACCGCCACCTTGCATTTATATAGTGCCCTTCGCGCAGGGCAGCGTCTCACAGCACTTAACCGTGATGGGGTCTTGACGCCGAGCCGGGAGGGAGGAGGTGACCGAAAGCATGGTCGAAGAAGAAGGTGTTCAAAGCGCTTCACAGAATATTCTGTAAAGTGAATTGACTCTATTAGAGCTCCTGGCAATTGCGCACAGCAGTGTACAATAAATGCTGTGGAGTGAGTGAGCACATTTTTAAAAAAACGATTGCTACCCTCAGAAAAGTGATCCGCTAATCACCTAACAACTGGGTTCCTACTTACTGCTGGGTAATAAACAGAAGCAAACTTGCCTCACGTGTCGCCCTGGCTGGAAATCAAACCTGGGTCCTCTCCCTCGCGAGTCGAGTACTCTAATAGACAGTTAGTTCACTTCACAGTATATTCTGTGAAGCGTTTTGAGACATCTCGAAGATATGATAAGGTGCTATATCAAATGTAAGGATAATTAATATTATTAGGAATTATTACAAATATAGAATTACTGCGATTGTATTGCACCAAAACAGACCATTTGGCCTATCTAGTCTGTGCTGATGTTAACAATCCATGTAATAATCCTTGCATTTGATATAACACCTTATCACATCTTCGAGACGTCTCAAAGTGTTTCACAGAATATACTGTAAAGTGAATTGACTGCATATTTTATGGATGAAATGCAAATGCGCACAGCAGTGTCCCACAAATAGTTGTGGATTGAAGTGACCAATTTATTATTTTTTGTAAGGAAATATTACCCCCGAAATCAACTAACAACCGGGTTCCTACCTAATGCTAGGTAGACAGAGGCGTGTGGAGTAAGGAAACTTGCCCAACATTTCGCTCTGCCGGGATTCGAACCCAGGTCTTTCACTTGTGAGGCAAGTGCTCTAACCACTGAGCTACAGAACTCCACATAAGTCCTTACCCATTCCTAATCCCTTCTCTATACCCCTCAATTCCCTTCTCCTATATCTCAAGCAAGAGGTCTAGAAGATGAGAGAAGTTCTCCAGCTCCTCCACATCTGTTCCAACAATTTTTGGAGGCACTGATGGGTTGTGTCACTTAAGACAATATACATCCAGCACATCACCTATCCTTTGCTTTAACCACATAGTCTCTCTCCTCTCTATTCCACCTCCTCAATACAATAGGCAATATCATGGCTTTCTAAGCCTGGAACACACTGCAGTCAATGATAAAAGAATGATATAGAGAAACCAGAAATTAACACTATTTGGATAAATGCCTTCCAGAGGCTTCGGTCAAAACATTAGCAATGGTTATAAGGATTGTATGTAGGAAGAACCAGAAACAAACATAATCAGCATAAATACTCAAAAGCTAAACTTGGAAGAAAATCATTTTTAAAAAGGGAGCTTCATTTTAACGGTATAGTCTAAATTTTAAAAATTGCTTTTGCCCACAAAATATGCAGTCTATTCACTTGGCAATATATTCCGTGAAGCACTTTGAGACGTCTCGAAGACGCAATGAGGTGCGATATCAAATGCAAGAATTATTATTATTTTGTAATAATATCCTCAAAAAAGTTTACAACGATAGCAGTTACTTGAGAATGGACTCTCCACCCAGTGCCTAGACGTAGACACATTATTTAGATGGCGGCTTAATCTGCAGATAGGAAAGCATTCAATTCCTCGGCATTGAAAAGTCTTGACAAGCCAGACAGAAATCACACAAATTGAGGTAGAACCTTACTCAATGTGGTTTAATTTCAGGGAATCAGTGCTGCCCAAACCAACCCCCACATGTTCACCATTTTCACTGTTTTATTGTGACAAGTGGTTTCTTGTGTGTCAATTAAATAGGTTTCCCTTTGCACCAAATGACCCAACTAAAAGTTCCACCTGAATCGACCGATGATAGCATCATAAACTCAATCTGAATTTATTTCACTGCAAACAAAGTAAACTATAGTTTGCAATCCAAATCACTTGGAGCAATCAATGTGGCAGTGAGTTTCACTGTGTATATGTTACCACCCCAGTCCACCAATTGGGGGTAAGAGTCAAAATGTAGATAGACTGGGACTTTGCACTAAAATTAATTTCACAATATCACAAAGACGAAGAGTGTATGATTAATACCTGTAACTGTTACACAGAGTAACTGAGGATCCGAGCAATGCATCCTATTACCGGCACACAATTATATAGTTGCTGTGATGTTTTAAAATAAAAGGCTACTTTGTATTTTGACATTAGACTTGAAAAGGTGTCAAATGCTTTTACAAAGACTCAAATCTGACCTAATAAAACCTGTTTTTCAGTGAAGAAAATGTTTGGAAGCTTTGTGAGTACATAAACGACCACGAACAGCTTTCTTTGAAGGAGTTCTTTACTGTTTTTATATCAAATGATCAAAAGATGGTAAGAGATTATATATACTTTCCTATAATATCTGAGTTATAAGCAAAAGCATAGTTTTGCCAGACAGTATTTTGTACATTAAGATTTAATTTAAGAATTTATTTCTCTTATCTAGAGATATTAAGTCTTGGACATCAAAAGTTTGATTCTTGTTCTGCATTTACTGTTGCCCTCTGTTTAGTGCGCATTGCAGAAGATGTCAGAGCTGAGACTAATTGCTCCCTATCTGGCTGCCACACACATACACACGATCAACAGGACTAAGAAAGGAAATTGATATTAACTTGCTTAACCTGGCAAAAGCAAGGGTCAATTTAGCCTGCCCGTTGCACAAATAAGCGCTGCTCACACCATTTCCTTTGCAGAATTTCAGGCCTCATATTTGAGCTTGGACAAGAAACCGGGCTTCACCCAACATCCATAAATACATCAACCTCCAGCAAGGAGAGTAATCAAGAGCAGAAAGCTTGATTTGAAATGTTCCCCTCCGTAGCATAGGAATCTGAGGCCAATTATAATTCTGTAAATTGCTTTGAGATTTTTTTAAAAAAGTGCTTTAAGACATTTTGACTTGTGGAGCACCATAAAAATGCAAGCTCTATCTTTCTGCATAGGTGCCAATCTGGAACCAACAGGCTGGCCATGGAGATCAGCCTGTAATCTGGGTAAGTGAATATCTCCTTTTCTTGTTTGCTTATTAAACTTTAGTGGCAAACTTCATAGAGTCAATATTTAGTTTGAAAATATTTACAAAGCTCCTCTGTGGAGATCCACTTATTTTCCTTATTTTTGGATGATTAGTGGATTCTCTGGAGATGATGCAACCCTAGAGAGACCCATTTAGATCTCTTTATGGTTGATTTGTGTCGGAAATTCTTTGTCAAGAGCCTAACTATTTTCAGTCTCTATAAATGGCCTCAGTCTTTAAACAGAGGTATCACCATCGCACAGTAAACACTTATGTAAATGGAACTTGTAAAAACTTTTGGTGCTGTATATATGAATAAAAATACATTCATGCTTTTAAAATTACATGATTGCGGTGAACCACAGTTAAGCTTTACAGTTTACAGATCAAAACTAATAGAAATTGCAGGGCCTTATCTTTATCTACTGTACTATATCAAACACACTCTAGAAATAGATCTAATGATTAATGATTGTCTTTTTAACTAGGATTACCATGTTCTCCTTATCCACGATTCTGATGGAAATCACTGTAATGTCTACGACCTGGATACTACTCTACTATATCCATGCCCGTTTGATACATACATCAAGGAAGCTTTTAGGTCTGAAGATCTGATTACACCGGCATTCAGGAGGTGAGGAAAGCCACAATTACCGTGCTTTGGTAACTTAGTGGTCGGGGTGGGATAGATGAATTTAATCATTTTGAACGATTGTAGAGGGAATTGCATCAAAATAACACTGCAGTACACAATTTAAGAGCGTAAGACAATATTAGAAAGCTGTCAATGCATTAGAGTGTCTGATTGAATAGTTGGTTTTGTGTGTTTTAGGCCCATTGTGAGGCATTGATTGGGTCCCGTGTGTGTCAGTGGCCAGTACTCCCAGCCATGCTCACAGATAAATTGTGGTCATTTGGGTGAGGAATTGGTGGGCTATATATTGTGGTGGAAGGAAAAATAAGTCAAACATCCTCAAGAGAATTGGAGGGAAGAGAATTGTATTAAAAATAAAATGAAACAAAGACATTTATTAACTCTGGAGCATTTGTTGGGCTGCACTGTCCAGAAGCGGAAATATTTCAGGTTTCACATGGATCAGTAATCAGAGGCAAGAAGTTAAAAGCATGAAAATTGCCCTGACGCTGTGTTACACAGGCACATGAGAGTGGTGAGAGCAGATCTGTACTTGAAGACATTTGCTTCAGATCGATCCCATATGAGAGATGCTGATGGAAAGTGGCGCATGCCCCCGCCACCATACCCTTGCATTGTGACAACAGGTAAGCACAATACAGTCTGACCTTTTGTTTCAGATTTCATAGACAAAAAACAGCTCAAAAGCAAAACATTGTCCACGACTGTGACTTCTAGTTTTTCCCAATTCTACTTTTTAAACCCCGTTGTATCATTTTATGCAATTTATTTGTGATGCTTGTCCAGAATGAGGCACTGATGGGAAGCAATTTATGTACTGGTAGGATTTTACAATCTGGATTTTATAGTACTTAAAAAGGATTAAGTATGCTTAGTCAGTAAATCTCTCAAGGCAAAAATTGGTGCCTATAAACAATACACCACAGTGGCTATTGAATCCGCAGTAAATGTTTTAAATGTTTTCCCTGAAAACAGCTTTAAATGTAAATTTTTATTTTTATTTGCTACTCGATGTTTTAAGATGAGTTATGCTGTAATTCATAGAATATTACAATACCCATGAATTCTGAGCTGGTGTTTTTTGCTACATGACCTATTTAATGTAAATCTATTCTCCTACTCATGGCCCATACCCTTTAATTATACACCTTCTTGTGGATGTTCTCACGACAGCATGCCACACTCTGTTCATGCCCATCAGCTGTCTCTTGGTGTATGCAGTAATTTTTTAAAGCTTCTTTCCAATGTATTTTGTTTCTTGGTTTTCCCTCTTCTACTGGGCCTAGGAGCCTAGTGCTTTATTTCTGAAGAAAGAGCAAGTCCTGCTTGAAATATTAACCAATTTTCCCCTTTCAAATGCTGATTGACTTATAATATTGTAATAATAATCCTTGCATTTGTTATAGCGCATTTCATGTCTTCTAGACATCTCAAACCGCTTCACAGAATATACTGTAATGTTGTAAAGACTGTATATTTGTAGGCGAAACGCGGCAGCCAATTGCGCACAGCAGTGTCCCACAAACAGTTGTGGATTGAAGTGAACAATTTATTATTGTTTTTTTTCTTGAGGGATTAATATCAGTCATATGGAGTAAGGAAACTTGCACAAGGTTTTGCCCTGCCAGGAATTGAACCCAAGTCTCTCGCTTGCGAGCCGAGTGCTCTAACCACTGAGCTAAAGGATTCCACACTTACTATTTTATTTCACATGGGTCATTCTCTCCTCAATGTTAAATTTGGCAGTGCCATTTGTATTAGAAAAAGCCCCAATTATTCATAAGGTTCATACCTTTACAGACCTTAGACTAATAGAATTTCCCCAATAATAAGCACTCTTCAAAAAAGCAGTAATAATTCATCTGAGATTCTGAGGTTCAAGATCCTAAACCTTGCTGAAATATTAGTTTATTATGTGGATATTGGGCCAGGCATGATCAGGCTTAGATGTGCTGCCCCTATATCTATATAGGAACAGGAGTAGACCATTCAGCCCCTCAAGCCTGTTCCGTCATTTTATTAAATAGAATTTAGCTCAGTGGTTTGGGCATTCGCCTTGCAAGCGAGAGGACCTGGGTTCGATTTCTGGCAGGATGCAATGTTGGGCAAGTTTCCTTATTCCACACACTTCTGTTTACCTAGCAGTAAGTAGGAACCCGGTTGTTAGTTGATTGGCGGATCGCTTTTCTGGGGTAATAATTCCTTCAAAAAACATAATAGTAAATTAATCACTCAATCCATGCCTATGTGTGGGACACTGCTGTGCGCAATTGGCTGCCGCATTTCGCCCACAAAATATACAGTCAATTCATTTTACACTATATTCTGTGAAGCGCTTTGAGACATCTCAAAGATGTGATAAGACGCTACATCAAATGCAAGGATTATTATTATTATTGGATCAACAACAACAAAATTACATTTGTATAGCACCTTTCACATTGAGAGGACGTCCCAAGGCGCTGGACATTCAGAGTGTTGGAGCCCAGCTGGGGGGTCGGGAATGGGAAGGATGGAGGGCAGGGGCGATTGAAAGCATGGTGAAAGAGCAGGGTCTTGAAATGGGTCTTGAAAGAGGCAAGAGAGGGGGCGAGGCGGAGGGACTACGGGATTGAGTTCCAGAGGGCGGGAGCAGAGTGGCAGAATCACCAATGGTTCACCAATGGTGGGGCAGGCGAGGCAGGGGAAGTGATGCATGCCGGAGCCCGCTGAGCAGAGGGAGTGGGCAGGATGATACGTGGTTAGGAGATCGCAAAGGTAGGGAGGAGGAAGACCATGGAGGGCTTAGAAGGTGAGGACCAGGATCTTGAACTGTATCCTCAGTGCTATGGGAAGCCAGTGGAGTTGGGCGAGGATGGGGTTGTTAGGGTCACGTTCATGGCTGATCTCAAACTCAACTCAAATTGAATCTAAGTTTAACATGTGAAGAATGGCCACTTGGGGGAAGCAATAAAGAACTTAGCTCCTGTGGAACCACACCCTCATAGTGAGTCGTCATCTTCAGGAGGAGGGGAGCAAATTTGAAGAAATATTAAAATTACACTAAAACTGACCATTGGGGCGGGGGAGAAGAAATCGATCTTGTGAGCTAGAATTTCTAGCTAAGTGTAATTACAATGCCAGTACCAGCACTGTCTTCCTCTCGCGGGATTCAGAGTGAGGTGTGGTGGCCGGTGGGCATCTATGTTACAAAATTGTGCAGTTGGCATTTTATATATTTTATATATATCTAAACGGTTACAGGCTGATGATTTAACTTAGAGGATTATAAACAATCAATTTGGCAATAAGGGTCAAAGGGCACTGCACTGGCAATGACGCTGTGGGGTAGAGACAGTTGAGGCTTTTAATATTTCTTTACCTCTGCATGAATTTGACATGAAGCAGACAGTAACCTGTTACTGTAATCCCAGAGGCCCTAGTTGCCAGGAAGCTCTGGGTTTGTTTTTTTATATAAAAGGGATTGCTTCCCGTTTTGTTAGGTGTCATTTTGATTTTGTGTATTTCAACTACTTTGATTCTCATTGAAATCCAGAGGCAAAGATGAACCTGGACGACTTCATCAGTATGAATCCAAACGTCGGCTGGGGAGATGTTTATACTCTTCCCCAGTTTGCACAACGATTTGGAAGAACAAAGTCATAATATTTAGAAGAAAAATAAACAATTTCCCTTGGGGAACATTTTCCAGCTTGAATCCTGCACGATAAAAGAGAACTGTTGAAGGCTGGCACAAATAAAATTGTGACACGCATTTTTAAGTATTGCACAAAGGACAAAAAGACAGCAAAACAGAATGTACTGCAGTGAGAGTGCAGTAGGGGGAGATGGAGACTATTTAAAGAAGATGCTGAAAATCTACTCAGAGAACCTCACGTAACAAACAAACTGATCTCTCATCAGCGCATATTCAGTTCATAACTCCACAGCGCTTCACTATCTCCTATTGTCAACGCAGAAAACTTCAAGGGTTAAGCAAACACATTCTGATGAATTGTTCCTGGAAGAGTTTATACTTGGAACTCGCTAAAACAGGCCTGCAGTCTGAAAAGGGTTAGACATATCTGTGTCAAAGCAGTGATTACTTACCATCTTATTTTGAAGGCCAGTTTTAAAATAAGTGCAACAAAAGTGACTAGGAAGTGGAGAGGATATGTTTTTTATAAGAGGTGATAGGCATGTAGAGCTAACAGCACAGACGGCAGAAAAAGGAAACTGTAAAATGATTCAAAAATGAACTAGACAAGTTCCTGGAAATTAAAATAATATTTTTTTTAGATGATGAGATACATACGTTGAAAGGAGTTGGAGGGTAGGCTCAGTGGTAATATTTTGCTCCTGCCTCAAATGTGTCTTCTTCCCCCCCTCCCCCTCTTAATTTTATAACAATTGTGAGTATTGTGGTGATATTTTTGTCAGAAATATAAAAAAAATTAAATTTCACAATCAGAATTTAGTTTTTGAGTGTCTTTGATGTTTAAGGTAGCTTTCTGACCTCTTGGTCAGAAGATTGCAGGTTCAAACCCCGGGTCAGCTCATGAGCTCATCGTGCAGGCTGGCTTTCCAGTGTAATTCTGGGAAATTTCTGCCATATCAGAGTTGTCATCTTTTGGATGAGACATTAAACCAAGGTTTCACTGCCTGTTCTTCAGGTGTACATTAAATATCCCACAACCCACTATTAATCAACAACAACAACTTGCATTTATATAGCACCCCTCATGCAGGGTAGCATCCCAGAGAGCTTGACAGTGATGGAGCACGACTCCTAGCCGGGGGGAGGGGGAGGTGATTAGGAAGGCCGAATAGGAAGTTCATCAGGCGCGACCTGAAAATGAGGAAGGAAGGGGCAAGGCGCAAGGATAGAGACCATAAGACGTAGGAGCAGGAGTAGGTCATTCGGCCTGCCCCTACATTTAATAAGATCATAGCTGATCTTCTAACCTAATTCCATTTACCCGCCCTATCCCCATATCCCTTAATCCCTCTATCCTTTAGAAATCTATCAACCTCAGTCTTGAATATGTTCAAGGACTGAGAATTCACAGCCTTCTGGGGTAGAGAATTCCACAAATTCACTACCCTCTGAGAGAAGAAATGTTTCCTCAACTCAGTTCGAAAAGGCTGACTCTTAATCTTAAGACTATGACTCCTAGTTTTAGATTCTTCAACCAGGGGAAACAGTCTCACGGCATCTACCCTGTCAAGGTCCTTGAGAAGCTTATATTCTAGAGAATATAGGCCAGTTTATTCAACCTATCCTCATAGGTCAACCCCCTCATCACAGGAAATAACCTAGTGAATCTACGCTGCACCCCCTCTAAGCTGAGTATGTCCTTTCTTAAATAAGGAAACCAAAACTGCACACACTATTCTAGGTGCGGTCTCACCAAGACCTTATACAACTGCAGCAAGACCTCTCTACTCTTGTACACTAATCCTTTTGCAACGAACGCCAACATGGCATTAGCCTTCCTAGTTGTTTGCTGTACCTGCAATACTAACCTTCTATGACTGGCGAACAAGGACACCCAAATCCTTCTGAACACTAGCACTACCTGGTCTCTCCCCCTCTAGAAAATAATCCGCTTTTCTATTTTTACTACCTAGGTGAATAACATCACACTTCCCCATGTTATACTCCATCTGCTACCTTCTTGCCCACTCACCTAGCCTGTCTATTTCCCTTTGCATTCTTCGTGTGTTATCCTCACAGCTTACTCTCCCACTTATCTTTGTATCGTCCGCAAATTTAGATATGTTAAGATCTATTTCCTCATCTAAATCATTGATATAGACTGTAAATAATTGAGGCCCAAGCACTGATCCTTGTGGCACTCCACCAGTCACATCCTGACAATCTGAGAAGGACCCGTTGATCCCTACTCTGTTTTCTTCCTATCATCCATTCTCCAATCCATGCTAATATATTACCTTTAATTCCATGGGCTCTAATCTTATGCAACAGTCTTTTATTTGGCACCTTATCGAATATCTTCTGGAAATCCAAATACACCACATCTTATTGGTTTCCCCCTATCTAACCTGCTAGTTACTTCCTCAAAAAAGATTTGTTAAACATGATTTCCCTTTCATAAAGCCATGTTGACTCTGCCTAATCATGGTATGATTTTCTAAGTGCCCCACGACGACGTCCCTAATTAAACACTCTAGAATTTTCCTTACCACTGATGTCAGACTAACTGGTGTATAATTCCCCATTTTTTGTCTCCCACCCTTCTTAAATAGAGGCGTTACGTTTGCGACCTTCCAATCAATGGGAACCATTCCAAATCCAGGGAATTTTGGAAGATCAAAAACAAAGCATCCACTTTGTCTGCAGCCACCTCTTTTAAAGCCCTAGGATGCAGGCCATCAGGTCCAGGGGATTTATCAGTTTTTAATCCTATCAATTCTCTAGTACTATTGCTTTACTGATGTTCATTTCTTTAAGTTCCTCACTAACATTAGCCTCCAGGTTCCCCTCTCTTTTCGGTAAGTTTTCAGTGTCCTCTAACGTGAAGACAGAAGCAAAATATGTGTTTAATGCTATTTCCTTATTCCCTATTATTCTCCTGTCTCTGCCTGCAATGGACCCACATTCATTTTTGATAGTCTCTTCCTCTTTATGTACTTGTAAAAACTCTTACAATCCGTCTTTATGTTCCTAGCTAGTTTACCCTCATATTCCATTTCTCCCTCTGAATCAGTTTTGGTTTTCCTTTGCTGTTCTCTAAAGCCCTCCCAATCCTCAGGTTTCTCAGCAAACGGCTTCTCCTTCAGCCCCCGCACCATGTCGTGCGGCATTCCTCAGGGCTCTGTCCTCGGTTCCCTCCTCTTCACCCTCTACATGCTCCCCCTTGGTGACATCATCCACAAACATGGGGTAAATTTCCACATGTGTGCGGATGACACCCAACTCTACCTCTCTGCCTCCACCCTGAACTCCAGGACTACTGGTGGCCTGACCGACTGCCTGTCCGACATCAAGTCCTGGACGAGGGACAACTTTCTCCGAACTGAACGTCAGCAAGAACGAGGCCCTCCTGATTGGCTCGTACCAGCGCCTCCGCACCTCTGGTGCTGGCAGCATCAGCCTCCACGGCTGCACACTCAACCTCACTAAGCCAGTCAGTATCTTGTTTGACCCTGAACTGTCCTTTCTCCCCCACATCTGCACAATGACGGCATTGCCTACCACCACCTCCGCAACATTGCCAGACTCCGCCACTGCTCACCCCTCAGGCTGCCGAAACCCTCACCCATGCATTCATCACATCAAGGCTCGATTATGGAAACTCCCTCCTCATCGGCCTTCCCAACTCTTCTCTTCGCAAGCTGCACATCATCCAAAACTCTGCAGCTTGTGTAGTCTTGCGCACCAGGCTCCGTGACCCTATCACTCCCACCCTCGCCTGACTCCACTGGCTCCCCATTCCTCGGAGGATCGAATTCAAGATCCTCGTCCTCACTTTCAAGGCCTTCCATGGTGTTGCCCCCTCCTACCTCTCTGACCTGCTGACTCCCTACTAACCTGCCTGCTCCCTCTGTTCAGCAGGCTCCGGCACGCTCCATGTCTCCGCCCGACCTGCCTTACCATCGGTGACCGGGCTTTCAGCCTTTCTGCCCCACACTGGAACTCCATCCCACAGTCCCTTCGCCTCGCTTTCTCTCTTGCCTCCTTCAAGGCCGGTCTCAAGACCCTCCTCTTCGATTTTGCCTTCAATCGCCCTCCCACCTCTCTGCCTTCCCTCACCACTACACCACCCCTCCCCCATGCTCGGGTTCTGACCCCTGACTGTCCAGTGCCTTAGGACGTCCTCCCGACATGAAAGGTGCTCTATAAATGTAATTTTGTTGTTGTTTACTGCTCTTTTTGGCAGTATTATAGGCCTCTTTTTTTAATTTTATACTTTCCCTAACTTCTCTAATTAGCCAAGGTTGAACCACTTTTCCCGTGGTATTTTTAGTTTTCAAGGGAATATGTGATCACTGGGAATTATGTATTATATCTTTAAACATTTGCCATTGCTGGTTTACCGTCATATTTTTAAATCTAATTTCCCAGTCTATTTTAGCCAAATCTTCTCTCATACCTGCAAAGTTGGCTTTATTTTAATTTAAGACCCTTGCTTCAGATTCAACTATATCACTCTCTAACTTAATGTTAAGTTCCATCATGTTATTGTCACTCTGCCCTAGAGAAGCCTTAACGTCCAAATTGCTGATTAGCCCTATTTCATTACACAAAACAAGATCTACGATTGCCTATTCCCTGGTTGGTTCCTCAGCATATTGTTCTAGAAAACTATCTCTAATATATTCCATAAACCCATCCTCTAATTTACTTTTGCCAATTTGGTTTTCCCAGTCTATATGAAGATTGAAATCACCCACTATTAGTGTATTCCCCTTGCTATATGCTTCTCTAATTTCTTGATTAATACCGTGCCCAATACTGTAACTGCTGTTAGGGGGTCTATAAACTCCTCCCACTAGTGTTTACTGCCCCTTTTTGTTTCTTACCTCCACCCATACTGACTCTACATCATGATTTTCTGATTTTAAATCCTTCCTCTCTACTATTTTTATCTCATCCTTTATTAGCAGGGCTACCCCCCACCCCCCACCCACCCTCATTTTCCACATTGCCTGTCTTTCCTATACGTCGAATACCCCGGAATGTTTCGCTCCCACCCTTGGTCTCCTTGTAAACCACGTCTCAATAATAGCCACTAGATCATACCCATTTATGTTTATTTGTGCACTTAATTCGCTTATCTTGTTACAAATGCTTCATGCATTCAGATATAGCGCATTTAATTTTGACTTCTTACTATTTCCCCTACTCCTTAATGCTCTATTTCCCTTGTTGAGTTTTTTGTCCCTACTTGACACACTGTTGTTTATCTCCCAAGTCACTACTCTGCTCTACAGCCATGACTGTTCCTTGCAATGTCGGTTTACGTTTAACTGTAGTTGGAACACTCCCTCCACCTCCTCGCCCCATTAATAGTTTAAAGCTCTGCCTATCCCCCTATTTAATCGCTTTGCCGGGACATTGGTCCCAGCCCGGTTAAGGTGGAGCCCATCTCGATGGAACAGCTCCCTTTTCCCCCAATACTGATGCCAGTGATCCATAAAACGAAACCCCTGCCTCCTGCACCACT